TTTTTGGAAGTGGCGTCTCCGGAATTGTTCACTTCCAGTTCAAGTCGAACACCAACTCAGAAAGCCATGCAAAAATTTGGTAAATATGATCAGATTTCAGATGAATTTTTATCTTGCTAAGTAACTTACTTTATTTCTGGATTGTGAGTCAATGATGGAGAGGTCTCTTACCTGATGTAACTTTTCTATTCCAGCATTTCCGTGGCAACGCTAGACTTTTACTGTCGATAATGTCATATTGCACCAAGTAACAGCTTTGCAAGACAGTTTCAAGAGTTTGTGGGCTTGTAGAACCCTTAAATGTAGGGATGCATCCATATGATCATTTAGGCCAACATCTTTATCCGTCATTAATATTGCTGTTAAAGCCAATAATTGATAAAATTACTTGGGGGGGGGCGCTCCGTCCAGCAGCGCTCCTCCGTGAGAGCAGGGGTGGGGGTGTTACACGTTCCGCTGCTGTTTCTCACCAGCATCAGCTGATGGAGGGCTCTAGTTTCGCTGCGCCGTTCGTGTCAGCGGACACGGTAGGGTCGGGGAGGGGGGGCGGGGCATGATGCTTAGCCTGGCGGGTGGCCAAGCGTAGGGCTGGGCGATATGGCAAAAATAGAATATCACGATTTTTCCAATATTTTATCACGATTTCGATTTTATCACGATTTTTTATCCATGAATAGCATAACTTCAATTGCGTATTAAAGAAGAAACATTGAATAAATAAACATTTATTCATATTAGGGATAATCAACACAGTGCTAACACACTTATATTTTAAACTCACACCAGAGATGATAAAAGCCCTGAGAGAAACAATTACAAAAATCAGTTTTTCTCATTTTTCAAGTAACTTAACATAAATTAAAATCGTAAACATATTTAAAGTGCAAACATGTCAATTGCAAACGTATTGTGCAAACATTAACTTGTTCAAAATACTATGTAGCTCCCAGTTGCTCATGTAGTGGATAGTTAAGCTCAGATACGGCTCTGATGTGCGGCTGGACCAGAGATCGCTTGTGGTAGCAAATAACTGCGCATTCTGAATATTTTCTGCAACTCTCACTTTGCATTCAGCGTACATGCGTGGAATGGCGGTGCTCGAAAAATACTTGCGGCTGGAAAACTCGTAGTGCGGATCCAATGTTTTTATCATTTTCTTAAATCCCGCTCCTACTGTTCGCACGGGACACAAATCTTTAACCAAGTGGTACATCACTGCATCTGTCACGCTGTTCCATCGTCTGCTGTCTCTGTCATAGGGAGTGAGTTTTGTGTTTCTGTTAGCGTTTGCTGCCTGGAAGAAGCACTAGCCGCTGCCGCTGTAGCCGCAGGCTTTTTAGCTTTAGCCGCCAGCTGGCTCTCATTGTACTGTTTGGGATGCCTTCTTTTCAAGTGATTAAACAAGTTTGTGGTGTTGCCATCACTTGCCTTGACGCTCTCCTTGCAAACTTTGCAAATGACGTTTCGCTGCTCTTTGTCATCTGGTGAAAAACCAAACCAGTTCCATATAATGGACGAGGCGTTCCTCTTCGGAACGAAAACCTCGCTGTCGCTCTCAGCCACGGCCGAAGCCATGTTTGTTCACACACAGGTGAAAACAAGCGGGGCACTAATATATTACTATGACTCACTCTGATTGGTTAAGGGTCAAACAAAGGCGTGTCATTCGCCTGAGGTAAGTTCCCTTTTCATTCAGAGGCAGAAATTCAACAGCAGAGCTGTGAATCGTGATAAAAAGGTCTCTCAAAAATGACAGACCGTCAGATGTGTAGATCGTAAAACGGTCTAAAATCGTCATATAGCCCAGCCCTAACCAAGCGGGTGGCCAAGCAAAGCCTGGTGGGCCGTCAGGCTTATAAAGCGCTGGGGGAAACCCTGACCTGTCTGCTGGACACGTCTTAAATGAATCATTAGACTCACCTGTTGTTGAACGCCTGTTAATTTGAATTTTGTAGTCTAAAGTGTGGCTTTTCTCCCAAGACTATAATTGGGGTGTACACATTTTTTGCAACATGGGCTTGAATGGATTTGTTGGGAAAATTACTTTTCTGTGTGAAAAATTAACAAATCTTGTTTTGTAATCAATGGCCCACATTTGTGGGAGTGATTTGTAGTTTCTATTTGACAGAAAATGTCGATTCTGAAAGGAAACTAAAAGTTTCCTGACAAATGTAGCAGGTTGTACTCATTTACAGTATGCTGAGCACTGTACGCACACACACACACACACACACACACACACACACACACACACACACACTAACTGTAGGGTATCGACTGTATACATATTTGTGATGGTAATGTTCTACATTAGCTGGTATGTGTAACAGTCAGTAGTTAAATACAGATTAAGCAGATTGTGTAGATAATCCCAGTATCAGACAAAAGCAGGTTCAAAAGAAAAAAGGTCAAAAAGTCCTGTTTTAACATGCAAAGTGGAAATAAAGTGTCCACTGACAGTTCACTGATATGATGACTTGTTTATCTGTTGATGGATTTTGTGCATATTATTCATGAGAAGAATAAGTGAATTCACTGTTCCCTCTCCCACAATTCACTTCAATTAGAGATGAACGCCCCCTCATTCCATCCCAAATTAAACCTTCTGAAACCCAGAGCAGACAACTACAACAGTCAAATTCACTCTCCCTTTGCCAAGCAGCCAAGTTGTGGACCAACAAACTTGGATGCCTCCATTTTCCTGAGGGGGGTCAAATCGATTCCAAGCTTGTTTACACTATTCCAAAAAATCAACAACAAAACGGGGGACAAAGCCATCATTTACTGTGCCTCAAAAGGCAGATAATAGCAAAGATGTGAGCACCTTATGCACATGGGACCTAAAGCTAGAGATGCAGACAACTCAATATACCAGTCCTGTTGAGTTGGATGAGTTCTGACAGGTGGAAAACCACACTGCATCTTGTAGTTTTAATGACCCAACAGTTGAGGATAAAACTTTATGTAACAATATACGAGTTATGCTATGGATGGCATTTAAATTAACACTTCCTGAGCGGTGTTCACAAAAGGTTTGTGCCATCTTTGACCTGCTTTCCTATGCAAATTAATATTTTTTTAATCACCACAGAGAAACGGTTCATTATGAGCAAAGCTGGTATAAAAGTCATAGACATAGACCCACAAGCTTAAATTTGCATGTCCCAGCCCATTTCAGTGTCAGCAATATAGAATTGTTGATGGCAGTGATGCTAACCGCAGATTAATGCTAGCCCTGTTATGGTGGACTAGGGGAAAACAAATGTCAGAACCCACACATTCGCCTTTCGCCTTGGATCGTATATATGTTATACCTCTATCTAAATTAAAAGTAATGAAGTGTGCTTCGACCATGCCTGTCGTGTACTTTGAGATTTATCAGCTTTTAAAAGTTTGTAATTAGCATGACAACAATCCAGACATCGCCAAGCTGCATATATGACACCACCACAGAATCTCCTCTCCCCTAGCATAGCTGCTACTTACCACGTGGCCAGATTTATGGTGGTTCTTTCCTCCTGAAAGAAGGATTTGAAGTTTGATGAATTTACAGCCATTTCCCCTCTGCTTTTCTCCGTGTCTGGCACTTTGGTGATGCGCATTTGTAGTCCTGGACTAATTTTCACACAAAACCCAAAATAAACGTTTCCCCCCATTCAAAAAATAAGCGCTTTCTTAGTATCAAAATGCGTATTTAAAATTCAAGGACATCATACATGAAATCCATGGCACATAACAAGCAAAAGGAGAAAATAACAGGGTTTTTTAGCCCCATTGACTTGCATTTATTTTTTTCGTTTTTCCGGGGACCCATGGTCCGGAAGTAGACAGGCGTGACTTAGGCTCCCTATTATGGACTTGTATTTTTTCATTTACATGGGCTCCTGGACCATTTTGAGCCCCAACAAATTTTCCTATGTTTTATAGAGGCTCAAATAACAGTTTCCAGTATTTTAATGAAGTAGTTCTAGGTGGCCTTTAACACTACAACATTTATACCACACACCAATCATCCATCAGCTAACAGCAAGTATGTCTGTTCAACCATCAAGCTTTTTGACATAATAAACCAAAATGTGTTCAAGTAAACTAACTGTCTGACTGAAGTGACCACGACTAACAACCAACACACCTGTTCGTGTTCCGGTTCATCCAAGACTAACTTTTGATCTTAAACTCCCTTCATTTCAGAGGCTGTTGGGATTACTACAGCAAATATGAAAGTCAAAACATGAGGTGAGCATGCTCCCAATGCGGTTCTTATTTCAGCAGCTTGAACACTGCATGCCAGGAACAAAACAAAAAAACATGTGCCATAAAAAAGCTGAAAGCCAGGAATATAAATCATGCCATATCATGAAAGTTTGTAGAAAACAAGCCAGAATTCCATTATTTTTCATTAAGTTGCTGATGTACACAAGTGTAAGTCCGCTTAATGGAAACATTTAATTCAAAAACACAGAATATTAAAAATTATATAACTAAAGTTATTTTCCTTTAATATTTCAGACAATTTACATAAATGAATAAATCTGGCAGCAAAACTTTTATGCTTATTTATTCATAATTTGTGATTGTTTGTAGGCTATAAAAATGTCCTGTTAGCTAACAAAATAAAAGCAAAACGCACTCAATCATAAATGTTGTCAAACAAAATTAACTTTAAGTTTTTACATGTCAAATTCTATAAAGCAGTTAAACTAAGAAGCACGTTTAACTTTTGCCATGAGTAGTTACAAAAACACATTATAATTCATTAAATGGCTGAGGTAACAGCACCATAATGAGTGCCGAAATTAATACCGATGCTTATCGTTTCCTTAAACAACAGAGTGGACGTGTCATAGAGGTAGAGCTTTAGCAACGGGGCAAACAAATGTTAATTTTAAAGTTTTACGTATGGAGTTCGCCGCTGCTTCTGTCCATGCGTGCGAGCACGATACTCAGCGCTCATGGAGCAGGCTGGGGTTTAATTTAGCAGCAAACAAATGTCAACTTACTCTCTGTGCAGCGCATCCCATCACGAAGAGTAGACATGCTGTCACTGAAGCGTGCGCCCCGAGCGCCGTAACACAATTCATTTCGCCCTTATTGTTCCTGTTTTAGTGCGACGCACCGTGAGCTGCTGGGTCCCGCTCCTCCGCTTCCCTCTCATTCACCTGAAGTGTCGGGAGCGCGCTTCCATCGCTCATGGACGAACCGGAACGCAGGACCAGATCCCCCCTCACCTCCCCCAACTTAACCATGTCATTAAAAAGATAACTTCAATCAGCACACATTTTTATTCGACCTATCATTAATGCATCTGTTTAAAACTGATGAGGTAGGTAAGTCAGCTGATTACAAAATGTCAATAACTAGATTTAACTTCCAAATAACATTAATGTAACACATCTACAGTTCTACTTTACGGAAATAAATTTTAAAAAGCATAAAACAATACTTAAAAAAACATTGACTTCTGCATTCACACACTTTACACAAATTACATTTGCCTGATATTACATATCTAGTCTATCCTTCCTTGCAAAAGGGGGGTTTAAATGTCAATGGGATCTTCAAGGTGGAATAAATTTAAAAAAACTAATAAATAACCCCACACACATTATTATGTCAACTGTTTTATAGTGTGTGTTACTGCTCACAATCATGCAGTTTAATGTAGATGACTGTTTAAAAATTTACTTTTGGTGTAATTGTTTACATCACCTATAGATGGCATCAAAGTAAGGAAAATGCACTGTGTGCACACTCCAAAGGTAGATGATATATGACTTAAACTTTTATTTATACTTTACTTTTATTCACTGCACTCTCGTAAATATTTAGGTACATGAGATTTGAATAAAAATAAATATAGCATTTGTTTTACAAAATCCAAACATACTTGAGTTTTAAATTGTGTGTGTTCCTCCTGCTCATTCTTTTGTTTGTGCAACCCCCACCATGGAACCAGCCACTGAATGTTATCAAACCACCGTGTTTGGGCCTGAAGTGATCTTGTTGTAATAGCTGGTACTTGCTAGTTGCTCCCAAGGTTGTCTGTGTATGAGGTCTGGAACCTTTGATCACATTGCATCTGTCAGTTTTCACATCCAGGCCATAAATATAAGACTAGTCCTAATATTTAACACATGCTTTTATTTTTGATGCATTATTAAATTACGTCTACCACGTGGTCTAGTGGTGATGTTCTAAAACTCCATGATACAGCACAAACTTGCATTTTAATCATATATGTGTTTTGCACAATGGGTTTTCAGACCTAGGTGGATCATTTAAAAGCACTGTTGCCTTGCAGCATTAAGGTTGAAAGTTTGAATCCCAGCAGCAACCTTTTTGCATGGAGTTTGCATTTTTTCCTCGTGCGTTTGAGTTTTCTCTTCTTTCCTCCAGCAGACCAAAAACATGCATGTTAGGATAATTGGTGAAGTTAAAATTATCCCTCAAAATGAGGGACTGTTTGACTGGGTGTCTTTGAACTGCAGCTGATTAAAGTCGGGCGTAAGGACCCGTTCTACTGTGCTGTGGTCTATCGTCCACCTGGTCCAAACAGTTCTTTCCTTCAGGAGTTTAGTGACTTTCTATTCTCCACTGTGAAGCTGTCCAGACTGGTGATTGTTGGTGATTTTAACATCCACGTTGATGATCCCTCTGATCACTTTGCCATTAATTTGTCCTGCCTTACGGACTCCTTCGGCTTTACTCAGCATGTTTCTGGCCCCACACACACCAGGGGACACACTCTCGACCTTGTTTTTACCCTGAGTCTAAATGCTGACAGTGTTTGTCCTGAGGACGTTTATATTTCAGATCACCATTGCATTTTCTTTAACTTGTCAGTTTCTGCGTCCCCACCTCCTGCTCGCCGTATGGTTAGTTCCTGTTTTCTTAATGAGAGCACAGCTAGCAATTTTTCTGCTGCTTTTGATCCACCCTGTTCTTCTGATAACGACCCAGATTCCTTAACTTCTCAGTTTAACGAGCACTGCCTCTCTGTTCTGGACAACATATCCTGTCAGAACCAGATCAGTTCCTGCAGTGAACCCTACTCCCTGGTTTAATGTCAGCCTTCGCAGCCTGAAGCGCCAATGCAGAAAACTTGAGCGTTTGTGGAAGAAAACCCATCTCCACGTCCATCTACTGCACCTAAAGGATCTTCTGACATCCTTGAACTCTGCAGTCAGAGGGTTTCCTATTTCTCCAACCTGGTGTCCCAGAGCAAAGGGAACCCCAAGGTGCTGTTTAACACCATCAGCAGCATCGTCTCTCCAGCCACTCCTACAGCCTCCATCCACTCTGTTGCAGACTGTGAGAACTTTCTGTCTTTCTTTGTGGACAAAGTCAGTAAGGTCAGATCTAGCATCTCTCCTTCAGCCTTATCGCCGCCTCTCCCGACTCCAACCAGGCCCATCATCCTAGATAGCTTTGCTCCTGTTTCTTTGCCTGAGTTAACCAAACTAGTTAACTCTATGAAGACATCTGCATGCCCCCTCGACATCTCACCCTCATCTTTGTTTAAAAGTGCTTTTCAGTCCATCGGTCCCAGTGTTCTCTCTATAATTAATGCTTCTCTGGTCTCTGGTCAGGTCCCTGCTTACTTTAAGAACGCTGTAATCCACCCGCTTCTTAAAAAACCGAGTCTCGACGCCTCTCTCCATAGCAGCTTCAGACCCATCTCTAAACTTCCGTTCATCTCCAAGATCTTGGAAAAAGTTGTGGCTAAACATCTCACAGCTGCTCTTGATGAAGATAACATCTATGATAGCTTACAGTCAGGTTTTCGTAGAGCTCATTCTACTGAAACAGCTCTTCTTAGGGTCTCTAATGACCTTCTGACTCACAGTGATGCAGGGGACTGTTCTGTTCTGGTCCTGTTGGATCTGACTGCAGCCTTTGACACTGTTGACCATCACCTGCTACTGGAGAGGCTGAGAGACTGGGTAGGCCTATCAGGATCTGCTCTGGAGTGGTTCTCCTCTTATCTTTCTGAGCGCTCCTTTTCTGTGGCCTTCTCCAAGTTTAGGTCCTCCACCACCTCCCTTACCCATGGTGTCCCACAAGGTTCTGTGCTGGGGCCTCTGCTCTTCCTAATCTATCTGCTTCCACTTCAGCACATCCTGAACTCCTTCAAATGAATCTCCTACCATCTTTATGCAGATGACATCCAACTGTACATCTCCTTTAAGCCCCATGAGATGTCTAAGCTGCAGCTGTTACACACCTGCTTGGACTCTATCAAAACCTGGATGGCTGGGAGCTTTCTACAGCTGAATGAAGGTAAGACTGAGATCCTCATCTGTGCCCCAGACAAGCTGGTTCCCAAAGTCAGAGACTCTCTTGGTCAGCTTGCTTCCCACACCAAACCTTCTGTCAGGAATCTTGGCGTGACCTTTGACCCAGCTCTCACCCTGGATTCTCATGTCAGTTCTCTTGTTCGCTCATCCTTCTTCCATCTCAGGAACATTGCAAAGCTGAGTCCCATTCTGTCCCGCTCTGAACTTGAGACTGTTCTCCACACCTTCATCTCCTCACGCTTAGACTACTGTAACTCTATTTTCACGTGTCTGAGCAGAACCTCCCTGAACCGTCTACAGGTGGCTCAGAATGCCTGTGCTCGGCTTCTGACCAAGTCCTCAAAACACACCCACATCACCCCGCTTCTCCTCCAGCTTCACTGGCTGCCAGCCAACTTCAGGGTTCATTTCTTAATCCTGGTTCTGGTCTATAGGGCCTTACATGGACAAGCACCATCTTACATTGGTGATCTTCTTAGTCCCTACACCCCCAGCAGGTCCCTGAGGTCCAGTGATCAAAGCCTACTGGTTGTGCAGCACCAGGCTAAAGACCAAAGGTGACAGATCATTTGCTGCTGTGGCCCCCAGACTCTGGAACTCTCTCCCCCTGAGCCTGAGATCAGTGGACTCAGTGGTCTCCTTTAAAAAGCTGCTGAAAACTCACTTGTTCAAGCTGGCTTTTGTATGACCTTCTTCACCACTCTCTCTTTATTCTGCTCTCCCCACCTATTCCACCTTCCTCAGGAACCACTGATTTCCCTCTTTCCTATTCACCCTCTCTCTCTCTCTTTCTTAACATTTTTCTATTAAATCCCAATTGCCTATTTTTGCTCATTTTAAATATATTTTAAACATTTTCTAAATGCTTTTTTATATTTTAACATTTTTTTTGTTTTTGTGAAGCGCCTCGTGATTTTTATCTTGAGAGGCGCTATAGAAATGATATTTTCTTCTTCTTCTTCTTCTTCTTCTTCTTCTTCTTCTTCTTCTTCAGTGTATTTACACCAATCCTCATACTAAGCAAGCATGTAGTGACAGTGGAGAGGAAAACTATGAACAGAGAATATACATATTGGATTGATTTTTATGTCTAAGTATTGGTTGTGAAATGTCAACAAAGTTATGACATCATTCATTTTTCTACCATTTTTTCCAGCTTTGGTTTATATTATTAGTCTAGGTTTGAAGCAACTCACTCTGTTACAGAAGGATCAGACCAAGCTGGTACAAAGATTACACACTTGACAAAGAATATTTGAAAACTTACCAAATAATAACAATCATATTGTAATGTTTGAGCTAAAAGGATAACTCGAATGTATTTAAATGACTAAATGTTTAGTCATTGCAAATGATACCAACAAATCTTATTTATTTTTTAAATTAACTTCTAAAATCAAAATTATTTCTGTACAGTTTGCTAGTAACAAAGGCCTTAAATGTTTATTGAAATAAATTATTTCAATACACAATCATACCAACATTCTAACATCCATTTCTCCCCAATATGGTGGTTGTGTTGACGTGCAGAAAGACGTCCCTAAGTTCACCATCCAGAGACGATGTCCCTTCAAAATAATATTCGTGTAATAAATGTCACAGCTGAACTCCCAGTAATAAATTCACAAGCTGTGTAACTTGATCTCCCCTTTTCACTTTCACATCGACAGACTTCTCTTGTCACCCTAGGACACATTCGTTGTTTAGTGTTTCTAGTCGGACAGCTACGGGAACGGAAACTAAACAGCCACGTAGTAAAAGACGCAGGTCGTAGAAAAAAAGGTAAGCATTTAGTATTTTTTTTCATATTTTGCGAAATTGTCATTTTATACTCACACTTTGGTATGGTGACACACCTTCGTGCAAGTGTAAAATTTGTTGAATTCTTTAAAATATATTGTTTGAGGTCCCCCTTCCAGTTTCGCTATCGGTTGGTTTGAGCTAACAAGTTAGCTTCCTGTCAAAACACAGCTAGCTGTTTTGTTAGCATCGCTGTCTAGTTTTAGCCACCTGTTCTCTAGTCTGTCATCTGCCAATGTTACTTTTATGTGTACCAGATTCTTAAAGCAACGTTGTAGGACACTCGTTTTAAATGTATATTTATCATTTAATCACAGTTTCGATTGCTGAATGAAACAAGTCAAAGGTTAAGTGGTAGGTGTTGGCACGAACACGGGAGACAGAATGCCGCTGTGTATTTCGGTTCTGTGCATTCGTCTGTCAACATCCGTTTTGAAAGCGTCTCATGTAACTATTTGCTCACAAACGTAATGTTACTGCAATTAATGTTATTTTTAGGTAGACACAATCCACGTAAACTGTTGAGCCAGCTCGTTAGTGCTTGCCTCACGTTTAAAGATCTGTATTGTTACATAACCTCAGTAGAGCCCACAATGGGACACCTGTGAGGATACCCACACTGATGTGTTTTGACATTTTAAAATGTATTTTCCCCTCAGTGATTCGAGTTTAAACGTGCTTATCTGGGGCACAGACACGCTGTGGTGCATTCTGCTTCTCCAGATGATGGATTTATAAGAAGTTGTTCCTCAGAAAAGCAATAGCTGCATTGTGAACGTTTATCTTCTTAATGGAAGTTTATATCAGCCAACCAGAGGTGAAGCAGATGGAGGCCAGTGCTCTGCAGGATCCAGTTGTGAAATGTAAAGAGAAGGACTTCTCTACAGAATGTGGCACACATCTGAACCAGGACCTGGGGAATGCAGAGAAAACAAAGACTTTTCTAAATGGTGAGTGTAGATCCCATTTGATAGGAAAGGTGAAAGGAGTGAGCAGATGTGACCCCACCCATCCCACTCACATAGATAACAGAGGGGATCAATGGAGCGCTTATTGATAAATCAAGTCAAAGTTTTATGCAAGAATTAAAAACCTTCTACTTCTAGAATTTTAAGTGATTTCTCCTTAGACATGTTGTGGAGATAAACAAAGCAACTCCTTTATCTAGAATCTGTTTAATGGGATGCATGGCTTGTGTTACTCCTCTGTTACACCAGTCTTTGAATAAACATGTTAAATACCTGAGCAGAGTTCTAATTTTCATCGTCATCAGGTCAGCATTGTTTGTATTTCATTATAAGAAATCATCAGGGGAAAATAAAAATGTATCTTATATTATTTGACATTTACAAGAGTCAGTTTTAAAATAATTAAAGCAATATATTTTTCTTTTTAAACCACTTAGTTGATCCCACATTTTCACAGGCTGAAAAGTGGTTCCCGTCCCTGTGTGGCTTTAAGATCAGAAGCATTGCCTTTGCATTGGGAGTCTTAAATGACTTATATCATGCTTTCTATTTACAAGTCCGATGATTTCATCTTTGGCAGCAGATCATTAAAATCACTAAATATTTCCACAGCTTCTATCAAAATGTTAAAGAAGTTGACGTTGAACACGACAGTCAATTTTTTACCACATTTTCAGGACATTTTAATTCATACATGGTCAAAAGCAGATGAATATACACTCAACAAAAATATAAACGCTACACCTTTGTTTCTGCTCCCGATTTTTCATGAGATGGACTTAAAGATCTAAAATTCATTCCAGATACACAATATTACCATTTCTCTCAAACATTGTTCACAAATCAGTCTAAATGTGTGATAATGAGCACATCTGCTTTGCTGAGATAATCCATCCCACCTCACAGGTGTGGCACATCAAGATGCTGATCTGACATCATGAGTAGTGCACAGATGTACCCTAGACTGCCCACAATAAAAGGCCACCCTGGAATGTGCAGTTTTTTGCTTTATTGGGGGCCTGGGGACTCAGAACCGGTCAGTATCTGGTGTGACCACCATTTGCAACATGCAGTGCAACACATCTTCTTCGCATAGAGTTTATCAGATTGTCAATTGTGGCCTGTGGAATGTTGGTCCACTCCTCTTCAGTGGCTGTGCGAAGCTGTTGGATATTAGTGGGAACTGGTACATGCTGTCATATACGCCCTTCAAGCACATCCCAAACATGCTCAACGGGTGACATGTCCGGTGAGAATGCTGGCCATGCAAGAATTGGGACATTTTCAGCTTCCAAGAATTGTGTATAGATCCTTGCAACATGGGGCCTTTGCATTATCTTGCTGAAACATGAGGTGATGTTCATGGATGTACGGCACAACAATGGGCCTCAGGATCTCATTACGGTACCTCTGTGCATTCAAAATGGCATCAATAAAATGCACCTGTGTTCTTCGTCCATAGCAGATGCCTGCCCATACCATTAACCCCACCACCACCATGGGCCACTCGATCCACAACATTGACATCAGCAAAGCGCTCACCCACATGACGCCACACACGCTGCCATCTGCCCTGAACAATGTCAACCGAGATTCATCCGTGAAGAGAACACCTCCAACGTGCCAGATGCCATCGAATGTGAGCATTTGCCCACTCAAGTCTGTTACGGCGACGAGCTGTAGTCAGGTCAAGACCCCAATGAGGACGACGAGCATGCAGTTGAGCTTCCCTGAGACGGTTTCTGACAGTTGGTGCAGAAATTGTTTGGTTATGCAAATCAATTGTTTCAGCGGCTGTCTGAGTGGCTGGTCTCAGACGATCTTGGAGGTGAACCTGCTGGATGTGGAGGTCCTGGGCTGGTGTGGTTACACGTCGTCTGCGGTTGTGAGGCCGGTTGGATGTACTGCCATATTCTCTGAAAAGCCTTTGGAGACGGCTTATGGCGGAGAAATTAACATTCAATGCACAAGCAACAGATCTGGTTGACATTCCTGCTGTCGTCATGCCAATTGCACGCTCCCTCAATGCTTGTGGCATCTGTGGCATTTTGCTGTGAGACAAAACTGCACATTCCAGGGTGGCCTTTTATTGTGGGCAGTCTAAGGTACACCTGTGCACTACTCATGATGTCGGATCAGCATCTTGATGTGGCACACCTGTGAGGTGGGATGGATTATCTCAGCAAAGCAGAAGTGCTCACTATCACACATTTAGACTGATTTGTGAACAATGTTTGAGAGAAATGGTAATATTGTGTATCTGGAATGAATTTTGGATCTTTAAGTCCATCTCGTGAAAAATCGGAGCAGAAACAAAGGTGTTGCATTTATATTTCTGTTGAGTGTATGTCAGTTGACAACTGATGCGTGAATGTTGCTTGATATTGTTTCCACTCAAGATATTTTTGCTTAGCAAGTTGTCAAACCAGTTCATCAAGATGGTCATGTTTATTAGTTCTCACATTCCTCAGAGCCTGGTTAACTCTGGAGTTTTTAAACCATTTCACGTCAAACACTAGCTGGAGGTTGCAGACGAGTATCCCAGACCCGAGGGGGATTTGAGGTCAGATTTGCATCATCGTATGTTTAAAGAAATGATTTTAGGTTTGTAGATGCAGCAGCAGTCTCCAACCTATTTTTTTTTTTGAGGAACTGAAGGGGGTGGGGTTGTTCAGAGAGATTCAACTATTGCCAGATGGTGAACTTTCAAAAGGATATTGATTCATGAGTTCATGAAATCTAAAGTGGAATAAAAGTATACAAAGAACACCGCAGGGAGCCATGATGGTCATAGTGTAAAAACATAACTGATTTTAGAAAGAGGTGTTGAAAAGTTTGTGTTCTTTTGTTTTTGTAAACAGTTGAACAAAACAGATTGAACACCAGGAGCTCTGTGATTGTATCACTGATGAAATAATCTTTTCTGAATGTGCCTGATCTGGACTTAAACTTTTCTTCCTTTTCTTTGAGGTCCTCTCATGTCAGACGTGATACCTAACGGACTAGCAGATGGACTCTGTGCTATGGGAGACACCCTAATCAATGGGTCCCTGCCTCCAACAGTTCCCCCCTTGAGCACCAGCTCCCCCATCAGCTCACAGACCCAAGATCCCTCCCCAGGTGTGGAAGCTTGTCCACCCACAAGGGTAGAGGAGTCTGAGGGGGCCAGTGCTGAGGTCACCATTCACAAGGGTGATGCTTTGCAGTCGCTCAAACTCAGTATGCCTATGCAGGAGACTGAATTGTGTAAGCAAACGATAATATGGAGTGGATGCCCCCTCTGTTCCCTTTTTACTTTTCACATTTTGCTGCAGAGTGTTTTGATTTTTTAGCCCATTTATCCTTTCTAACTTCTTTTTGTGTGTATTGTCTATAAAGAAGGCTTCATTAGGACTTTCCTGTAGTTGTGAGTCTGCCATCTGTCTAAAACACAGGTGGTTGGTGTTTCATTAATTTTATGTGTGGGTGCTTGATTTGAATTTTGTGTGGCTACATGACTGTTTTGGAAATAATTCTTGAAATGTAACCTTTTTAATCATGATTATGATTTAGTTTTCTTACACATAAGAACTGCTACAAAGATGGTTTTACACTTCATCAAATATCTGAATCAGCATTTCTGCTTAATGCGTCGTTCCAGTGAGATTTACATAACTATCCTGAATTTGTATTTTAAAACTTTTGGGCTTTTCTGAGTCCAGTTTAAGTAAAATTGTTCGTCTACACATGACTTGTACATATTTACAGGGAAACAACACAGCAGCAGAGTTTATGTTTATGTATTTAGCAGACGCTTTTGTCCAAAGCGACTTACACGTGATAATCGGCATGTTGCCCTTGAGGCTAACAACAACAATAACAACAACAAGTTTAGTTTTTGCATGTGTTATGTCAGTTCTGGTGTTCATGCTTTGACGGGGCCAGTTTTAAGATTTCCCAAACCTTTCTGCCTACAGCCAATCAGAAACCATCACTGGAGATGGAAAATGAAGAAAAGATTCGTCTGGATGCTCGCCGACGTCTGGAGGAGCAGCTCAAACAGTACAGGGTACAGAGACATAAGGAGAGGGTGCGTAGCTACTTCTTCAGATTAAATCTGTGGCTTCCTTGCTCCTAGCTGGGGGCCACTGCAGAGTCTTACTAATTTAGGCTCATGTCTGTTTAATAAAATATCTGAATTACATTAAAGCTTCATGTTGGATTAACATTGTTTTTTCCTTCTCCAGTCCCATCGCACCTCACCCAAAAGCAGGCCTTCCAGTACTCTAGACCCAGAACTCATGCTCCACCCTGAGGCTCTACCCCGGGCAAACACAGTCGCCATGACCAAAGAGTATTCCTTCCTCAGGACCAGTGTTCCGCGTGGGCCTAAACTAGGAAGTCTGGGAATTCCACCTTCTAAGGAGAGGAAGTCTAGATCCCCTCGCCCCAGTAAGATTCACTCATTGGCTGACTACAAGTCTCCTGAGAGTGAAGGTGGTGGAGGAGCGGGAGTGACTACAGCAGAAATGGGCTACCTCCAGTCCACCATTAGCTCTGTGTCCACACTGTCTGAAATCAGTGACAACATATCAGAAGTGGATGGCAGCGAATTGGGCGTAAGGCCTGGAAATGATGGCAACGATAGTGACAGCTCTTCTTACAGCAGCGCGTCCACCAGGGGGACGTACGGCCTGCTCTTTGCTGCAGTGGAAAGACAACGAGGCCCCTACACTGTGGAGGGAAGGGAGATTGCTCCTGAAGCCATGGGTCAGTTCCCGTCCTTACAAGAAGTTCTTCAGGCAGCGAGTGAGGAGCGGCACCTCCTGGAGATGGAACAGGAAAGAGAAGGGGCGGCTGAACCTCGCAGCCGCAGGGACAGTTTCTCCAGCAGGTAAGACCTCTCTCAGATAGAAAAGACCTCGGATGTTGTTTAAAATTTCAGTTTCAGTGAAGTTCACATCCGCATTTTTTCTTTCAGTGTTTCTTTGGAAAGTTCAGTGATGGGTCACGATGAAATGCTGCAGGTGATGAAAGAGAAAGTGAGACTGGAGGGTCAGCTAGAGTCCTTGTCATCTGAGGCCAGTCAGGTAATTTAACAAAGGAATTCTAATCATCCAGTTTTTTATTTATCTGCCATGTTGCACCTGATGTGTAGTGTCAGTGTTCTGGTTTAGTTAATACACGAGACTCAGAAAATTAGAAAATGGTGTAAAAGTTCATGTAATTCAGTGACTAAATTTAAAAAGTGAAACTGATCTGTTTTTATTTGTTATAATTGTGATAACTGTGGCTTACAGCTTATGAAAACCCCACATCCAAAATCTCAGATAGTTAGAATATTACATGAAGTCAACGGTAAATGTCCTGCATTTCTACAGTTCTACAACCCCCCAAGGCACTTTACAACACATTCAGTCATTTACCCGTACACGCACATATTCACACACTAATGAACTACAATGTAGCCACAGCTTCCCTGGGATTCACTGAGAATAAAACAAGGATTTTGACTAGAGAGATGTCAGACCTCTAAAATGTATAATCACACTGAACCCATTGGGTACGCTCGGGTTGCTTTTCTGTAGGCTCTTAAGGAGAAAACGGAGCTTCAGGCCCAGCTTGCTACAGTAAATGCCCAGCTGCAGGCTAAAAACGAAGAGGCTCAAATCGACCACGAGAAGCAAAACGCTCTCACCACCGAGGTTGGAACGCTGCGGCAAAACTGCAGCCAGTTAGAGAAGGCCATGTTGGAGCTCCAGAGCAGCCTGGAGAGCAAGAATGCCAGTTTGAGTTCACTAAACAATGACCTGAAGGTGTCTGAAGACCAGTACAACAGGCTGATGGTGAAAGTGCAAGAGCTGCAAAACACAGCGGCTTCAAGAGACAACACAGGTGGGTGGTAGAGATCCAGAAAGTGAGGGTGTAGTTTCCCATGTCCATGTGCTTTTTAAATGGTTGTGTTGGTTATTTGCAGTCCAAGAGTTGCGTCAGCAGATGGGTGGTCTTCAGAATCAGCTTCAGCAGGTGCAGCTGGAGCGCAGCACACTGCAGAGCCGACTGAAGACATCTCAGGCTGAGATCGACTCCCTCCAGCAGGTCAGGCTGTGGTACCAGCAGCAGCTGGCTGTGGCTCAGGAGGCTAGAGTGCGACTGCAAAGTGAAATGGCTAACATGCAGGTAAGAACAAAGTTTTTTATTCTGGTACAAGTGGTAAGCACTGGCCAACTGTAAATTAAGCTTTTGCATGTGACTTGATTTGTTTTATTTTCCCCCATCGTTCAAAGACTGGACAGATCACTCAGATTGGTGTGATGGAACATTTGAAGCTGGAAAATGTGACACTTTCTCATCAACTCACTGAGACCCAGCATCGCTCCATCAAAGAAAAAGAGCGTATAGCCGTACAGCTGCAGAGCATCGAGGTATATTACCTTATCACTTGCCTGCTTTTACAAAGCCACATGCAGCATCCTGAGGGTCTTCTGTGTGACTTACTTTGAACCCTTTCACTGTGATGCAGGCAGACATGATGACACAAGAGGCTGCTTACAAACAGATTCAAGATGCAAAGACTATGGTGGAGGATGACCTGCACCATAAGCTGGAGGAGTTTGAAGAAGAGCAAGAGCGATTAGTAAAACTGGCTAACACAGCCAGCACCCTGGAGAGGGAACTGGAGCAGGTAGTCACGCCATGATAAACACCCACGTGCTTTCCCTCTGGGGTGGGCTGTGGTTTGTGCTGAACTCTTTTTTTTTTCTCTCTCTTTTTAGATAAAGTTGACCCTTTCCCAAAAGGATGTGCAGCTGCAGTCACTTCAGAAAGAACATCTGGAGTTGATGCGCCAGCTGACAACAACTCAGGAGAACCTACATACCAAAGAACAGGGCATCAACCAGCTGGAGGCCCGGTGCATGGAGCTCCAGACCCAGCTGGCTGAGCTGCAAGCAGACAGCAGCACCAAGGATGAGAACATTCAGTTTCTCCAGAAAGAGAAAATCGTCCTGGAGGTTGCTCTGCTGGCAGCCCGCGCTGACAAGAGCCAGCTTGATGAGGGAGCTGAGCGTCTGGGAGAAGATGTACTGGTGGCTTCAGATATGCTGGATCAGCTCAGACAGGAAGTCCAAGTCAAAGCCAGCCAGGTACGAGACAGCTGGCATTTTAACTCCATTAACTACTCAAAGCTATTATAGCCAATCTGCAAACAAGCTAACCCCCTTCCCCGGTGTCTTCTAGGGGTAGACGGATATCGGTTGGTTTACACATCAGCATGGGCCGATAGACCCCCTCAGTAAAGTCAGACACATCCCCCGGCAGCCCGGTGCGGTTGCAGAATTTAATTTGTGTATTTTTACGTTCCTGATAAATAATATTTAATACTTGGTCAGTTTACAGATTTTTGTGATTAACTTAAGTCAGATGTCAGATTTTTAACACAACGATGCGCAAAATTAAGTTTAACAGCTGGTTAAATTCAGTTTTCAAAAACTGATTCAGCTTCTGAAGTTTTATTCATCAACCGATGTTATTGGTGACATTTTAGCATGAAAATAAGGTTGAAAATGTCCATCCATAAAAATCGGCCCAAAATATTGGCAGCACAAATCTGCCATCGGCTGATCTTTACTTATTGGCATCGATGTCGGCAATAGAAAAACCAAAATCGGTCGACCTCTAGTATCTTCCTTGAGACGCTTCTGCCATTACCGGAAACCCGCAATGCTGGAGGCAACGAGATAGCGCTAAACACCAGTCGCCCTTTTCTACGTCTTTTATTGTCCATGACTCCAAATGGTGTTTTTCTTTTGGGGACTCTAGTAGTTTGTCCTAAAGTTCAAGTGGTTACAGTCGGCTGTTCTGCTTCTCTGGTATTGTTGAGAGCGAGAACCTCTCACACCAGCAGTGTTCTGTTGCTGAATGTGAGTGTGTGTGACGAGTAGAGGACCCAGGGAAGCACGGAACTGCAGCGGGTCGGCAAGATCGACAGCCAGATGGTCCAGTGGTTGCTTTTGGTCCGAAACGTGTTATTGGTGAAGGTTTTTAGACAAATGTGAGAGAACCACTTTATTATAGTTTACAGATATTTGTTCTTGACAATATATGTAAAGCTGTACGATGGTAGAACATTGTTGATGCATGAAACAAATGCTTATTTCTTAAAAATGCTGAGTTTTTTATGTGAGATTTTATCAAAGTTGATTTTTCTAGGACTTGTAGTCTTTAGTTTTATTTAAAAAAATTGGTTTTATATCTGTTTTTTTTTTCAGAGTAAATAAAATTATCTTGTTTACGATCATTAAATTGTTATGTTACAGATCGAAGCGCTACAGCAAGAGAATAATTCCTTAAAGAAACAAACTCAGAAATTAAAGGAGCAGTTTCTGCAGCAAAAGGTAAAACACACCTCCTCTTTCCTCCGATGGTTTAATCACGCACCTCTCTCTAGTTCAAATTCAAAGGAGCCAGGAAGAAAAGCCACATTTAACACTTCCAAGTACATTTAGAGATTTGTCATAAATCTCGTGGCGGTCGTAGGAGGGTGAATTTTAGAGCCAGATGGAAGTCAGACTTTCTGAAGAATACCCAAAATGCATCTTGACATGTCTCAGCAGAATGGGCAGTGGTTGCTTTATCAAACTGACAAGCTGTCATCAGGAGGGCGGAGTTAATTGTTCTGGTGGGCTGCCATTTGTGAAAATGCTGTCTTTCACAAACCCTTTCTTTCTTTTGCATCTAAAACTTTAAGGATGAAGCGTCTCTAATGAGTCACGTACTTGAACATGACTAAATACTCAAAGTATGTAAAGGCCACAGAGAAGCATTGGCACTCTGCAAGTTAGCTTCTCTTTTTTTCCATCATTTGTCTTTTTATCTGCATGTTAGATAATGACACAGCAGAGTGACTGATTCAAAAATTTGATTTTTAACTGTATTTTTTCCTTCCCTGTAATGTTTTCAGTTTTATAAGAAAAATCCTTGAATAGAATTTTGGAGAGAGCATCAAATAGGTTTTGATCTCACTCACACCCGTAGATGAGTGAAATTCAGATGACGTTGGCGCTCTTTTGAGCTGGACTACTCAGTTATTTTCCCAGAATTGTTGATCTTTATAAACCTTTAAGTAAATGTCTTCACAGGTGATGGTGGAAGCCTACCGCCGTGATGCCAGCTCCAAAGATCAGCTGATTAATGAACTCAAATCCACTAAAAAGCGTCTTTTAACGGAGGTGAAGGACCTGAAGCAGGAGCTGCTGGGTGTTCAAGGTGAGAAGCAGAGGGCAGAGCTGGAGCAGGCCCGGTTACAGAAGGAGGTCACAAGAGTCCAGGAGCAAATGAGTAACATGGAAACCCATCTGCAAGCCATTCAGACAGAAAGGGATCAGCTAGAAACCCAAATTCAGGTACAGTGTTTTGTCTCCGTGGTAAATAATTTTATTTCTGGATTTTTTAAATTTTAAAATGGAAGTTTTCATAAAGATTTTAATGGAAAGCCCTCTGTTACTCTCCTTACCCAGTCTCTGCAGTTCGACCAGAGCCAGCTAGCAGCAGTGACTCAAGAAAATGAAGGCCTGCGGAAACAGGTGGAGCAACTGGAGGGTGAAGCCAAAAAGTGAGTCATGTGCTTCTTGGAGGTTTGGGGAGTCCAACAAACCTGGACTGTGATGCACATTGATGTTTTGGTTCCACCTTTAAAAAATCAGTGTGGGACAATACTTGTATAGTACAAAAATATGAGTCAGTCTCAGTACCTGCATGTTTTGTCTACATTTGTAAAAACAATATCTCGTATCCACATTTTCTGCTCTCAGAACAGTCAAGTAAATACCTTGTGTTCATCTGAACAGAGCCATCTCGGAGCAGAAAGTACGCATGAAGAGGCTGGGGACGGATTTGACCAGCACTCAGAAAGAAATGAAAGCTAAACACAAAGCATATGAGAACGCTGTCGGCATCCTAAGCAGAAGGCTCCAAGAAGCTCTGACTGAGAAGGAGACCGCAGAGGCAGAACTGGTCAAACTCCGGGCCCAGGTGTTAGATGGAGGAAACAGCCAGGCTTTACAGGTAACTCCTTTATTACCGTTACAACAGTATGTTACACAGGACAAGGGAAAGGCCTTTGATACAAGGTCTTTGACCATTTAGTGTCTTTTGTAGTTGATGGTTTGAAAATGAAAGACTCATAAACCTGTTTAAAGTTGTGGAACAGCCATTTAATCAATACATTTGCATTGGTTACTACTAGGAATGAATGCCTTGTAACTCGTACTGGGATGGTAGTGGGGTAGTGGGGTGGGGGAAGCATGGAGTATGGAGAAAATGCCTGAGAGGACCAAGCAAGCATATTCTCCCTGCCACTCCCCCCCCCCCCCCCCCCCCCCCCCCTCCCAGAGATGTTGTTGAACTCCTGTAGTGGAAACGCAGCTTCTGCAGTTAACTTGTATTTTAAGTGGGAGAACGGATCTTTTGCCATCTTTAGTCCAGTCCAAACAGGCATTTGTTTTGTTTTAAACAAAGATTTATTCAATATTCTACGTAAATATTTCTTCATGTCTTTAGTTTTGACTGTCTGGAACTGGTTGAAACTTACCATGGTTTTATTTGTCCTGCAGGAGAAAATCGAGCTCCTCCAAGCTGAGCTCCAGGCTGTGACAAACAACAAGACCATGCTTGAAAAGGAGCTGCAGGAGGTGATCACCCTCACCTCTACTGAGCTGGAGGAGTACCAAGAGAAGGTTCTGGAGCTTGAGGATGAGGTAAAATGGTAGACTGTGTGCGCCACCTTGTGATTTTGTTACGTTTTTTGAACTTTTGTATTTTACCCATGTCGTGTTTCAACTAGGGATGTTCCGATCACATTTTGTTTGTTCCCAATCCGAGCCTGAGTCATTTGATTTTGAGTATCTGCCGATACCGAGTCCCAATCCAGTCCTTCAGTAAAGTGTTAAAATAAGGGGGAAAAAGGGGAAAACGTCCAAGTTTTTCTTGAATTTTTTTTATTATTTAGGTATCTTTTTTTTTTTTGTATTTATGTCATTCTAGCCGTTTTTACAGGACCATAGCGTTTTCAAAACGGGAATTTCCGCGGCACCCTGGGGAGGATGTTGGCATTTATAGTAGCAAAGCTGAAGCTAGAATAAACTGCCATCAGGCACCTCTCCATCCAAGACGGGATATAGGGAGGTGGCTGGGCGGCCCCCCCACATGTGACGTACAGGGTCGCGCATTCAGCGTCAGACGAAAGACACGTCAGACTGATGAAATTTCATTTTCAGAACCTTTAGCTTTGATGTGACCTGCTTTTTGTCCTGCTTGACGCCCCGCTCAGCCGGTGTTTTCACCACTCTGTCGAACAGCTGGCTGTCTCTCACAGTCCCCGTAAAAAGGCGACTAATCTGTTCGTCCGCTCGCACGGCCAGAAGCTCCATGGTCTCCTCGTCCGTCCAGCCGGCTTTCCTTCCGGCTGGCACCCGGCGTGCAGTACAGGTGACTAACGCGACCACCCTCTTCTGCGGGGGGGCCTCCCACAGTCGCTCCAAAGGGATTAGCGGGGCTGACGCACGTTTAGCCGTCAGAGGCGAGGGGCTGATGCGGCAATACTACAACCAAGCGAGGCGGAACGAATGCCACAATATTCCCGCAACGCCATGCCGGCATTGCACGTTTATAGACATACCATTGCGGTAATATTACACTGATTTGCCGGCATGGTGTGTCCTATAAAAGCACCTTTCCTTAGTTTATCTGCCAAAAAACATCACTTGTTTAGGAAGTAAATTGATAAAAAACATGTTAATAATATCATCATCATTTCTCTTTGTGCCAGGAGGCACATAAGGCAAGGACATCATTTTTCCACAGGGATCGATTTCCAGCTGCACTTCTTGTTGAGTTCCATGAACACCATCCTGCTCTGTTTCTCTGCTTCAGCCACTTGCCGCCAAGTTGTTTTAGGTCGGCCTCTTTTTCTTTGACCTTCAGGCGCCCAACCTAGAGCCACAGCGCAGTCGCTCGTCTCCTCCTTTCGCAGCACATGGCCGATCCAGTTCCATCTCCTCCTCCTCACCTCATCGCTGATCCTCTCTGTCTGTGCCATCTCTAGCACTGTCTTATTGGAAACATGCTGTTGCCACCGGATCTTAAAGATCCTCCTTAGGCACTTCGTTTGGAAGGCGTCGAGTTTCTTTTCTTCTCCCTTTGTCAGTTTCCATGTCTCACATCCATATAGTAGCACTGGCAGTACGAGGCTTTTGAACAGAGAAGTCTTTGTCTTTTTGCTGATGTCACTGGCCATCCAGATGTTTGAAAGCTGTTTGTGCCTTGCACTTGCCAATCCGACCCTCCTCTTGATATCCGCTGTGCCTCCACCATCTTCAGTGACACTTGCCCCCAAGTATGTGAAGCTCTCCACCTCCTCCACTTCTCTTTCTCCCACTTTCAGCTTATCTTCCCTCTTACTGTTCACCTTCATGATCCTACACTTTCCAGCATTCAGCCTCAGTCCAACTTTAGCTGCATTCTTCTCCAGCCTAGTTGTTTTGTGTTGAAGATGTGCCATTATTGAGGACAGTAGGGCAATGTCATCTGCATAGTCTAGGTCCTCCAGCATGGTCATGAAGTTCCATCTGATTCCGGTTCTTTTACCCTCCACAGTTCTCCTCATGACCCAATCTATCACCAGTAGGAACAAAAATCCTGACATACAGCACCCTTGTTTCACTCCAGTTGTCACTGGAAACCAGTCTGTTATTTCATTTTCATCAATGACGGCGCACTGAAAGTCGGCGTACAGGATCTTGACCATCTGAATCAGCTTAGGGGGAATTCCATATTGGCGCATGATAGTCCAAAGGCTTTCGCGATGAACTGAATCGAATGCCTTTTCAAAGTCAACAAAGTGGATGTACAATGTTGCGTTCCATTCATTGACCTGTTCCAAGATATTCCTAAGAATGAATATCTGGTCTACAGCTCCTCTTCCTTTCCTAAAGCCAGCTTGTTCTTTCCTCAGTGACGGATCAACTCCTGTTTGAATTCTGTTGATCAGGATCTTACTAAGCACCTTGCTGGCCAAAGGCAACAGCGTAACTCCTCTCCAGTTCCCGCATTCCTGAAGGTTGCCTTTCTTAGGGATTTTGCAGATGATCCCTTTGGTCCATTGGGTTGGCACTATTTCTTTTGCCCAAATGATGTCAAGGATTCGTTTTAACTCTAAGCTGGTTCGTTCTATGTCTACTTTCAACATTTCAGCTGAAATTTGGTCTATACCAGGGGCTTTTCCGTTTTTAAGGGCCTTCAATGCCGTCTTGATCTCTTCTGTTGTTGGAGCTTTAGTTGGAATATCCAGCTCATTCTGTTCCTCCTCCTCCTTTTGTGGTGGTTCTTCTGGTTGTTAATAATATGAATATATTTAAAAGTAGTGGAGTTACTCATGTTTTAAATAGTTTACGTCCTCATTATGCGGCTATATTGACTGATGCACGTTCCCTTGACGGGGAAGGCACCTGGTGCCACAACCAGCAGGCTAACTTTTATCAGCAAAACACCTGAAGCTACCGGCATGGTCAGCTCAGGTGCTGCAGAATGAGAAACCACAACGTTTTGCTGTCTGTCTGCAATTTCTCTGTATTTATTAACATATTTTTAACTGTTGAATCCAATTTTTTTCCAACCGATTCCAATCTTTTGATAGTCACGTGATCGGGCCAGATCACATGATCAGATCAGAACATCCCTAGTTTTTACTCCCCATCACAACAAGTTCATGATACAAGTTGTTTCTACAGCTCCAAGAGTCGCGTTGTTTCAAGAGACGGATCAAAAAGTTGGAAGATGCCAATAAGAAGTTAGCACTTGAGCTGGAACATGAAAAAGGAAAACTGGCAGGATTAGCTCAGTCCCACAGTGCACTGCGGGAGCATGCTAATACTTTGGAGTCAGCCTTGGCAAAAAGGGAGGCAGATCTTGTCCAGCTCAACTTGCAGGTGAAACATCTATTTCAGCATCTTTTAGTGTTTGAAAAGCACATCTTTGGAGAAAATTGGAAAATATTAACATGTTTCTTACAAAAACAATGTTTTGGAATTTGTCTTTTTCAGGTTCAAGCAGTTCTTAGGCGGAAAGAGGAGGAGGACCAGCAGATGAAGCAGATGGTACAAACTCTACAGCTTGCTCTGGACAAAGAGAAAACCAAAGTCAAAGACCTGAAAGAACAGGTAGAAGCTCTATGCTTTGTTAGTTAGAACTATTTCAAAAAATATATTACACAAAAGATGCAGAAACATCTAAACTGTAAATTGCCTCAGCTTCCACTCCAATTATAGCTGCCTGTCTTTTTGTAATCTGTTAGATTTGGAGACCTGTGGTACTGTTTTTGAGGGGTTTTGGGGTTGTTATTACACATTTTGTCCTTTAGGTGGCAGCAGCAAAGGCCGAGGCAGCCCACAATAGAAGGCACTACAGAGCAGCCATGCTGGAGCTCTCAGAGGTCAAGAAAGATTTGCAGGCCAAAGAAAACCTCATTAAAACTCTACAGAGTGAAGCTCACAAACTGCAGTACGTAGAGTGGTCTGATAAAAGGCTACTATAGATTTAGTTACTGTTTCTCTTTCAGGTATATAGTTGTTTTTAATAATTCTGTTACCTTTTGCAGGGCTCAAGATGACCAGCACACTCAGGATGTTTCCAGGTTCCAAGAGGAGCTTGCTGAGGCTCATGGCCAGCTCCAGATCCTCCAGAAACAACTCGACGAGGAACTAGCTAAACAGCCTCTCACTAACCAAGAGGTACGGAGTCTACAGATTCTAAAACTCCAAGTTATGTTATATCCTATTTTAAAAAAATTATCATAAAACAACCCAATCCTCTTCATGTACTGTGAAGGATGTTCATTTATTTTTCATTTATAGCTTTAGTCATTGGGGGGGGGGGGGGGGGATAATGATGTCTTCTTTAAATTTTGTTTCAACCTCTCAGACTCATAATTTGCTGTAGATCAAATGTCTGACAGGCTTTTGTGACTAACACTGACTGCTGACTCAGGTGGAGGACCTGAAGTGGGAGGTGGAGCAGCGGCAGAGGGAGATCGAGGCTCAGAAGCAGCAGATGGAGATGATGGAGCAGTGTCACCAGAGGGAGCTGGACAACTTACAGACAGCTCTGCAGGCAGGTTTTCACACAAAACTGTAAAGTATAATTTACTACCTAGCCAACTTGTAAAAAAAAAAAAAAAACATTCTTGATATTTGACAATATGTTAAATGACATTCGCTTAAGCTAAAGTTGTGTCTTTGCAGTAACATTGGTACAGTTGCAACATTTGGTTGTTAACTAACATCAACATTTCTGATTAGAACATCAAAGTGGAGCTGGAATCGGTGCAGGAGGAACTGAGCGGCACCAGAAAGGACAAGTTTATGCTGCAGGCCAAAGTGGGGGAGCTGAGGAACAGCATGAAGACGGTTCTGCTGCAGAACCAGCAGCTCAAACAGGACCTGAAGCAGAATCGTCTTAGGAGGGTAAAGCTCTTTATTCCTTTCTAGATGTAATTACATATTGGGAAACCATTCTTAAGGGACTAACGATATACCGTAATGATGTTGGAGCAGCAGCGTATGGAGCTGAAGAGCGATGGGAACCCATCAAACCCGGTGGCACCAGTAAAGATTCCAGACTGCCCAGTACCTGCCTCTCTTCTGGATGAGTTGCTGAAACCATCAACTTCTGTCTATAAGGAACCTCTCAACAATCTGCACAATTGTCTCCGGCATCTCAAGTAAGGTTGTTGTTAGAGTTATTGATGAAGTGTAGTGCAAACCACCGACAGTAAAACTATGCAAAGCTTTCTATACTTTGGGGCTGATTTATTATAATACTTTCTTTTTTTGTTTGTTTTTCTCAGGGAAGAGATGGACAGCCTTCAGAAGCAGATGGAGGAACACACGATGACGGTACATGAATCGATGAACTCATGGACAGGCACAGCTGAGAGAATGGCTGAACTAGAGCTCCAAAACATCTCCACATCATCCATAGTGGTAAACAGTTTTGTGGTGGAAAATAATGAATCAGAGCAGCAACAATCATAACTAAAGAACTTATCTCAGGTCAGTAGAAGAGGAGTGGGGTTTTATCCACAAAAGGCACTTTTAAGCCCCATGTTCCCTTTCTCTTTTCTTAACAATGGCTGCCAACATTTGGCATTTTCCCCATCAGCATAGAAGTGCTATTGCAGAGTAATACTTATACCATAGCTTTATTCTTTATTTATATTTATGTTAAGCATTTGTCACATTTATTTATTAAGTTAGGAAACTACTTTTGATTTGAGTCCAAGGGCATCAGTCGTTTTGTTTTGCAATTCAAAAATGCAAATAAGAATTTGGGAATTAGGATTTTTTTGTCAGTCAAGTTTCCCCTCGTAATTTAGCAGTTTGCTTTACTAAAGTGTTACAAGTCCTCCTCACGATGAGATACCATCAGTGGCATACATGCTACTTATTAGTGACCATTTTAATTTATAAAGTGTTTTTGGTGACAAAAACTACATACTGTTCTTCCACTCATTTGTGGCTGTTTACCCATGTCACCCATCTGTTGTTTTACTGAAGCGGGTAGGCATGCATACCGGTTTCTTAGTAGTTCGTAATGAAGCTGTATTACACCTGAACGTCATGCACAGTGATGCATAAAAACTTGGGATTGCCTCTTGCTAAAATGCAGTGTTTATGTTAAAAAATGTAACCATATCACATTGGGTTGAAAACTGTAATCTGTTATGTTTGTTTAGCATGGACTGCAGTAATTTGTACACATAAATGCCTTAAGCGATCTTTGATGTTCTATCAAGGACTAACATGGTCTGAATGAGTGTTTTCTTTTCTAACATTTGTTGGAGTTGTTGTGTATGTGAGGAAAATCTTTACTGAAGAACTTTGTCCTAAGTAAAAACATAAACTGACATTGCACACTAGATGATTGATCAAAACCTAACAGACTGACAAAACGGGCAGTGCATTGTTTATTTTGTTTGTTTGGTACTAACTGTATTTACAAAAGCAAAACAAGCTAAAAGTTAAAAAACAACAACATTGAATTGATTGACTCACCCTATGTTGGATTGTTTCTGAGGTTATGGTATTGTGTTCAATCGTTTTCAGAGGTTAATATATATAAATATGTTCTTTTTTTTTTGTATAATTGTAAATTGATGATTACACAAACAAGATAACACAAAACATCAATACAAACCACATGTTGCAAACCTGACAGCTTCAGACTAGTCTGATTGTTGAATGGCTATTGGATGGTACTTTACTGCATGCAACTGTGCTGCAGCCCTCGTGTTCCAAAGCTTGCGTTCCCCTCCAATATTACTGTATGCTTGTGAAATTTTAGAGAGGCAATAAATACAAAGAGAATGGGTTAAGATGAAAATCACTGCTAATTATTTCAAATACTCTTTTCTAAGAATGCTTTGGAGCTGTAAATGCATATAAATACTGACCCAGTTGTACCCCTTCCTTCAAAAATCATTCCCGATTGAACATTTGTGTTGAAATATGTGATTGTATTTCATAAAATTGCACTACTTGTCTACTGTCTTGTGTTCATTCACTGAATGTTATTTACGGACTTTATTTGAGGACTTTTATTTTCTCCACGATAAAGTTGTAATTTTGTTCAGGCACTATGCTGGACAAATCGGGTCCTCGCTCAGCATTTTGAAACCGTCGCGGTGAGAACACTCCTAGCATCAGCAGCCGGCGAACGAGGAGGTTGGAATGATTAAAAGATATTCAATTTTAATTTTAACAAGTTAATGGGTTTAAATTGCAAGTTCATAACTATAAGTTAATCAAAGATTCGGGGTTTATGTTTTATCGTTAGTTTTGAGTGCCTAGTGTTACCTGCCTGTCTTGCTAAATGGCTAATTTTGGAACATGGTACAAACGGCGAAAGCACTTTGAAGCTAAAGTCCATAAATGTTGTTCAATTTTTACGGATATTATTTAAGCAGGTTACATTTGTTTGAATTATCGTGATTATGTAAGTTACTCAATAGATCTCTAGAGATGACCAAATTAGTCTGGAAATATTCAAGAATGCATTTTTCATTATTCTGTCATCCGAAATAAGTACTAGCTGCTGTACATGTTTCGACCAGGGAAATCCTCTTTATGTTTGCCAGGCAGGTAGTAATATCTCTGGATTGCATTTATCGCGTCTCGCCCGTTTAATTCATAGACTGTACATATACAATTTAATTGCATGATGGTGCGTTCAACATCCACTGAACGTCCTTTCATGTGGGTAATCCTTTTAATCAATCCGCATATGTTATCTTGAGAAATGCTTAATAAATGAGAAAATATATTAATCGTGACTGTGAGTGCTTTTCTGTACTGTCAAGTGTTATTGTGTTTATACTGTGGTTTTAAAGTAAAATATGATCATTCACGTCGTGGTCACCTTCAAGTCGTTTGAGTTTGTTTTTTCTAGAGGCGTTGAATGCATCGTGTGCCCTCCCTTTAAACCGAGCATGCGCGTGACATGTTGTAAACAATGAGACAATTCCAGACCGTCTTTAGCTTTGTGTCTAAGTTTATATGTGTAAAACTAAGCGGCACACCAAGTTTTAATTTAATGTAGCGAAATGTCTCTCGGTAAGTATAGGAACTTGTGTAGATAAATGTCATTATGCACAGTGGTTTTATAATTATCGTGACCACGTATCAGATGTGTTACGGCACATCAGTCCGAAAAAACCTCGAGTGACATATTTGGGCGTGACAGCATGCGGATAAGAATATTAAAATTGTTTTTTTTTGTTAATGATTTTCGTTTCTGAACATCCTATCCGAAATTATTTGGGCCATAACCAAACCTAAACATCGAACCCGTTGTTGAGCCGTTAGCATAGTTCCGGTTTCTCTAGCTTGACACTTAGGTTAGCAAGCTAGCCGACAAAAGCTGATACAACTTTAAATGTTGGTGTCATTTTGGTTAGAATATTGAAAATAATACAACATAAAGCACTTTTGTGTTTGCAAATCAGAAATGTACATTTGTTTCAGGCTGTTCATATTTTACAACTCACGACAACTGATAGAAAATGGATTGAAAAACAGTTATTTAATTAAAATATCAGGTCATCTTCGGTTTAAAGAAAGCCATCTTGCGTATCCCTCTGTGTTTTTTAATCGATCTTCTTTAATGTTAAAATATTTTATGTGAAATGACCAAACTAAAGTGCTCATTAATAATTCTGTTGCTTTTGCGCAAAGATAAATAATTAAAATGCAAGCGCTTGCTGAGGTAATCCTAAAAGTCTGGCTTCACATGCATGATATTAAACCAGACAACACATTTTCAAAATATTATTTGCAATTGTTTAGTCATTAAACCTTGCTGCACAAAAATAGGCTATTATTAGGTGTTAATTTCAACTGTAGGTTTGATTTCTGAATGACTACAGGTGATAATTAAGTGTCATCTGTGTTTTAGGAAACTGAATAATGGAGGCAGTTTTGAACTGGCTGAAGGGGCTAAGTGCTGCTGAGTTGTCTGAGGAGTTTGCTCGAGCAGATCTCAAGTGCGGCCCCATCACATCTACCACCAGAGCCACCTATGAGAGGAAGTTAGCTCGTGTCCTGGTAGTGCAAGAAGGCAGTTCCACTGAAACAGACAGCCACCCTTCACCACCAAGCTCAGAGACTGCAGCCGATCATGCCAAACCTGTGTCAGGTGCCACCTCAGAAGTTGCCCCCAAAACTGCTGCAGCAAGCTGTGGTTTCTCTGAGAGTAATAGTGAAGAGTTGGACTTTGGGTATGGTGTGGGTCTAAACCCACCAGAGGAAGAAGAGATCTCTGTAAAGTCTACCTTCAGCAGCTCTACTGACTGCAGTAGCTCTCAATGCAAAGGAGAGAACTCGTCAAAACCAGCACAAGAGTCCCCAACTTCTTATTATGGAGTTTGTCTACCATGGGAGGATGTATTGGCAAGAAATGGTAAGAAACTCACAAGACAACTTTTGAAATTGATAAACAGGTTTTTGCTTTGACTAATGAATGCTTTGATTTTAGTATTTTTACAACGCAGCACCAGTGCAACAACATTTTTTTTCCCAACTGGTATTCATCCATTCTAAGCGGCTTGATGTGCTGATTTGCTTGACGGGTTAAACTAGTGCCTTCTTTCTTACTACAGTCTAAAGTCCCCTTGAGCGTTATCATGTTTGTTTACTTATAAAATCTGCTGTTTGGGTGTTTTTTAACATTCTTGTTTGTTGAGCTTACCTAAACATTTTGACACCAAGTTAAGGAATAAGCTAATTGTGAGTGAAAACTTAAGTTTATTCTTCTATGATTTTTGTCACAGACTTTGGTGCCTCTGTAAAACGAGCAGCAGCGGCATCTCTTGTCTAGTCAGCCATGAGTTCCCAGGCAGGCTGCTGCTGGGTGGTTGCCCACAAAACTCTGGAAAAGATTATATTAGGAGAGAGAATAAAGTAGAATTAGAGAATTGGAATAGAATCTCACTGACTGTAGGAACCTCTCAGGGAGACATTATATGTTTATGGACCAGACTGTCACTTGATGTTAAAGTAAAATGAATCGAGGCATTGTTTGTTTATTTAAACAGACAAATACTAAATGTGGTCACGCTGCCATCAGTGGTGGCTGGTGAATTTTTTTTGGTGGGGCGTATTTTAACAGGTGTGCTGAAAAGAGCATGCCAGCTGAGATTTGCACGACCTGTTATGGCAGGGGTGTCAAACTTAAACTCACAAGGGGCCGAAATGAAACTCTGGGACGGAGTCGAGGGCCAAACTTAATATTTTTTGAAAAAGTGACGGCAAATTTGCACATTTTCTTTATCAACATATATGCAATTTTGAACCTTTAAATTTGGAAACAAACTTATTTCTGCATTAACACTGAATGTGGAATAACCAAATTACACACGAGCAAGTCAGTTTTAAATAAAACACATCAGTGGTATTCATTACTTGTGGTATAATCAGCATTTTTAAAATCTATTCAGGATTTATGTTTTCTTGTTTATTCATTTTTCTTATTTTTATTCTCCTTTTTTTCTCCTGTAATACGTGTCATCGCTGCGGTGACGTCTAGCTTTCCCCACTGAGGAACAATAAAGGGATTTTCTATTCTATTCATCTATCTGCAGCCTTTCCACTTCCTGTTTACTGTAGGTTAAATCTTTTCTCACGGGCCAACAACAAAATAAAAAAATATCATTTTATCTTAAATGAAAATGCAACATCTCACCTGTTAACGTTCATATTTTGGAGCAGAAAACGAGCATAAAACCAACATATTTAAGGCTCAGTTTGCTCCACTGGTTTACTGTGATGCTCACCTGTTCCAGCCAGATACCTGCATCATGGGGCTGATCTGAGCTGAGGAGGAGACTCCTGTTGTTTTGTTCATCTTCATCATAATAATGACAACATTAGATGACAACAGGTGCTCACATAGGTTTGTGCTGATGAACATGTCTGAGCAGCTTGACCACGTTGTTGTGTGTCGGGGAGGAAACACAACTACAGAGTCATGCTGGTTTGAGCGTGTCGCTGCTCGCTGGAGTTATATCGGCTCTGTCTGGACGTTAGTTGGAACACTTTCTCTTTCAGTCGTGAACACATTACTGAGCGATTAAAATCTCAGTTTCTGGGCTTCAACGTCAGAAAATAGCTGAGTGAGAGGAGTGTAGTTTGTCCGAGACAGAGGAGCTGCAGAGACCGGCAGCAGGCGGAAAAAACACAAAGGAGGGGGCTTCGTCGGCTCCGCGCTGACGCTGCAAAGCATCATGGGAGTTGAAGTCTTTGTGGTAAAATCGGCCAGCGGGCCAGTTTTAATATATTTTTGATGTTTATCTCGCGGGCCACATAAAAATGCCCCCTCGCGGGCCCTGCGCTCAGCTGGCAGGGAGCTGTTGATCGTTCCACGCACTAAGTGCAGGTCACGGGGAGACTGTGCGTTCTCTGTGTTGGCACCTGCACTTTGGAACCAGTTGCCTTTGGTGGTGCGTCACTCACCCTCATTGGGGGTTTTTAAGACTCACCTTAAGACTCAGTTTTTTGTCAAGGCTTTTCAGGATTAGCAAATTTTACCCGGTTCCGATGCCCTGGCTTCTTAATTTTTTTCAGGATTTTATTTTTTGTTTTTACTCTCCTCTTTTAATTGATTTTATGTTGGTTTTACGATTGTTATATTTTATTCTGATGGTTTTATGTTTTTATTGTGTTGTGTTCGGCACCTTGGGCGTCTGCATTGGTCGCAGAAGGGGCTTTATAAATAAATGAAATGAAATGGTGATATCACATGCGACGTGCCGATTTAAATTGAGTACATCATATGTGCGATCAAGGGTCTAAGGCAAAGCGGATTAGAAAATAGCATTTTTAGCCCCGTTGACTTGCATTCATGTATTCCTTCTTCCGGGGACCCATAAGCCGACCGGAAAGGGAGGAGAATTAGGCTCCCTATGGAAGGGAGAGATCCAGCGCGCATGCGCCAGTTAGCGTAGGTCTATGGTAAAGATTTCTGCGCCCAAAAGTAACGGGAAATACGTCACAGAACGATTCGGTAATATTAAAAGTGTAAATAACATTTTTAAACTACACTTAAATGCAGATTATACACAGAATTTATAGTCTGTGTGATGTAGAGATTGATTAGTTTATTTTCATGTTAATTTTTTTATATTTTGTGATTCATATGTTCTTCTTTGTCCTGTGAGAATGGTGGGGTGGCGCCCCAGCGCTCCCTATGGATGAGTCGCCACTGGCTACCATCCACGTGCTAATTTTGTTAAGGTCTCTTTGACTTCTGTGGGAACCTGGCTGTGTAGACATCACAAGCTTTCCATTAGGGTTTTTTTTATATTATTTTACAGGAATCTCCTAATGTGCAATATTTATATATCTTAATGTGTTGCGGCTTTGACAGAAGTACTAAAGACAATACTATTGGAGGACACAGTCTCAGCACACACACACACACACACACACACACGCACACACACACACACACACTGCCCAACCAACAAAAAAGTCGCCACTTGGATTTAAAGGGGTTCTTTGCACACATTTTCATTTTTTTAAAATCATTTTCTTGAGCCAGTATTTGCTTAAATGAACCTTTACAAGGTTAATGAATTGACACACTTGCAATGTCAGAGTATGCATCCGGTCCCTGTTAGTAAGTGAAGCTTATGTGCTGGCGCTGGAGTTTGCTTCCAGCACATGTTTTAGATCATGAACACAGCAGATTTGTTTTTATTTGGTGATGAACTGCTCCTGTAGAGACTAATGAAGGCCGAAGAGACATGTCAGCTGTTAGATTAACCCCGGCTTTCCACGGGAGCCGTCAGCAGCACGTTACTGCAGCAGCACGTCATAGCTGCTGATAGGAACCGCTGTGGTCAACAGAACCTTTTCCACAGCAGCCGTCAGCAGCGCGAGTCGGCCGCGTCTCAGGAGCAGCATGTCGCGGCCTTTACGCGCCGGTTCTATTTTCTACGCGTGACGCCTCTGAAACGGGTCAAGTTCGACATTTTTGGGGAAGGAAAGACAGGAAATCGGATGCGGAAATGGAGAGAAGCTCCCGAGATTTTCAGAATAAAGAACGTACTGCCTTCCGGTTGCTTTACTTTTAAAAAAGGTTACTAACTGTGCGTCCCCGTGAGAAGTTATCACCTAGCTAGCGGTCTCCTTTGTTTTTCAGGTCCGTATTGGCGATTATAAAACGGACAGAACATAAAACACAAACCATGTTGTAGTTTTCTCCTGCTTGTTGTTGTGTTTACTGACGAAGTCACTCGTGTGACTTCGTGCTCAGTCGGTGACAGCTGCTCCCCTGCTGCTTCGCGTCTCGTGGGAAGGGCCAAGCAGCAGTTTACGCGAGCAAGACGTGCTGCTGCAGTAACGTGCTGCTGACGGCTCCCATGGAAACCCGGGGTAAGGTGTTAAAAAACAAACACACAGTAAGAAGAGTTTCACCTTTGGTTTTACAACAGTCATTTAAAATGGACTCTAAGGGGTGCTAAAAGCAAGCCAAAACTGGCAACAAGTTTTTTAACCTTAACTGTTGCAATGAGTTGCTTCTCATTTCTTAAACAATGCTTTATTAAAAACTGGTCTGATGAGTCCAGATGGACCTGTTCCAGAGTGATGGTGCATCAGGGCAGGAAGAGAGGCAGACCAAGTGATGCACCCATCATGCTTAGTGCCTGTACAAGCCTGTGGGGGCAGGGCTATGATCTGGGGTTGCTGCAGTTCGTCAGGTCTAGGTTCAGCAACAGGATATGCTCCAAGAATGAGGTCAGCTGACTACCTGAATATCCTGAATGACTGGGTTATTCCATCTTCCCTGATGACACGGCCATATTCCAAGATGACAATGTTAGAATTCATCAGGCTCAGATAGTGAAAGGGTGGTTCAGGGAGCATGAGACATCATTTTCACACATGGATCGGCCACCACAGAGTCCAGAAACTTAACACAACGGTCAGACTCTACCATCATCAGTGCAAGATCTTGGGGAAACATTAATGCAACACTGGATGGAGATAAATCTGGTGACATTGCAGAAGCTTTTAGAAACAACGTCACAGCGAATGTGGGCCATAATCAGCTAAACAAAATAGAGTGTGACCCTTTTTACTGGTCGGGCAGTGTATGTGGGTTTATATATATATATATATATATATATATATATATATATATATATATATATATATATATATACATATACAGGAGGTCTAAAATGATAAAAACCTGTTCTTCATATTATATACCTGTTGCCCAGCCAACAAAAAAGTTGCCTCCTGGATTTAAAGGGGTTCTTTGCACACATTTTCATTTAAAAAAAATCATTTTCTTGAGCCAGTATTTACTTAAATGAACCTTTACAAGGTTAATGACTTGACAGCTGACATTGTGTATGGCTGCTGTAGGTATGCTACCTCTAAAATTACTGGGTTTATTTGCGTTGCCATTTTTAACACATAAATAAAAGCTAACTTTGAGTCTTCCTTGTTAAATTAAGAAAAGGCTCAAAATGTCCCAATTGAATGAAAACAGATTTTTTAAATAGCTGTTCTCCCATTAACAGCGCCAGCTCTGCTGTTACACCATTAGTTTTATGAACAAACTCTTATTGCATCATTTAAATCTTTTGATGTCAACCAAACTCAAGCGAGTTTCTTGTGTACACACACAGCAATGTTAAAAATCTGGCCACAGACATTTAAACACATCCAGGCAGAAACTAACGTGTTTTTTGTGCTGTAGAGGGAACGCACATCTACACGGACAAGAAGGATGCACTTCAGGCTGTAAAGACCATGAAGGGAGCCCGCTTCAAAGCCTTTGCTAACCGCGAAGATGCAGAGAAGTTTGCTAAAGGGTTATGTGACTATTTCCCTTCCCCTAGCAAATCTACCCCCTGTGCATCTCCCATCAAACCTGGACCGGTCATCAGTAAAGGTAAGATTACTTATCATTGAGTGCTTTATTATCTGATGTCGTTTTTGTACATGCATTAACAAAAAGTATTTAAAATCGGGTTAAAACTATTGGAGGTAAAGTAAAACAAACATCTGGCACGAGAGGACAATCCCACACATCTCCTTGTTGTGTTTCCCAGCTGACAACATGGAGGTCGACACCATTAACAGGGAGCGGGCCAACAGTTTTAAGAGCCCACGCAGCCAGGACTTGACAGCAAAATTAAGGAAAGCTGTGGAGAAGGGAGACGAGCAGGCATTCAGTGAGCTCGTCTGGAGCAACCCACGCTATCTTATTGGCTCAGGGGATAATCCCACTGTGGTCCAGGTAGGAACATAAACTTTATATTTAGTCTATTTAATCTTTCTCCAGATATAAATATAGGTATTTGTAGTTTTGTTGCAATTTTACTTTGTTTTAGGATTCATTTTGCAAGTTTGGCCAAAAGCACAATTATAAAGACGAAACCCTCCAGTCGTAGATCCTCATCGTGTTGACCCAAAGAATGGTGCTAATGAGTTGGGGATGGGTGTGGTTTCTGCTGCATGTTTCTATGGGGCTTTCTTAAGCTGTGGTTCATCGTGACCTCTTTGACCTCCTAGCTAAGCTTTTTACTATAAAGGACTGGCTGGAAGTCAGTTATCTCCACACATGCTCACTAGATCTAGTTTAAGCTTACCACTGGATGGTTTGAATTCTTTTTAACACTTATACAAATAACCGTTTGCTGCTAATTTCCTAAAACGAGGCAATAGTGCACAAAGTGGTCAAAAGAGAGGCAGCATTCCTGTAGAGCACATTCCAACACTGCAACATGAATCAAATGTTAAGACGTGATGACCGCAGCCATTTCTCAGTAATCTAACAGTAAATGTTGTCTGTACTTCTGTTTCAACACATGCCTGCATAAACCAGCCTCCTCAACATCGCCAGGGTTTCCTCTCATTTACAAACTGCTGTTGGTCAGCACAGGTTTTGTATTTTGCCTAGAGAGCAAGCATGGTCGTATTTCTGCAAAGGAAACTTGCTGAAGATTGAAAGTCGGTGAACTTGCAGAATTAATTTTGCTGTTTGTGTGCCTCCTGTGTTTTTAGAGAAACACAACCTACCATTGAAGCTTAGCATTTGTTGATATGAAACATATTTTCATTTGCCAGCGAAAACCTTTCAGCTGCTGCCTTGTTTGAGCATTGAAGTGACGGTGTGTATTTTTCCTGGCGATAAGGGGCAGTAGATGCGTAAATCATTGCAAGCAAGCAGTATTTTTGTGTTTGAGTAAGACCTTACCAATGGTTGCCCATTAGGGTCAAAAAGCCCTGGGGAGTGAAAATTTTAGCTAAACAACAAGCACATCAGACTTCCTTTCATCTTTGGCAAAAAGTGAAGAGGTATATTTGTAAAAACAACAACATTTAAGAATGATGAAAGATTTGTAACCCTTTGTTACAAATCAGTAAATGCATTTTGTCCTCATGGGCTCCCGTAGAAGGAAACAAGGCATCTAATATGGCGTCGCCCAGAGACTTAGACCCGCTCCCATGTATTTTAGACCTGGTTTTTATGGTTATATAAAACAACATTTTTCAACAACTGGGCATCATTTCATTCATTTTCAATAACTTTTTGATGGATATTTCCAGAGATTAATGGTAAAAACTACACATTGTCTCTTTAAGAACCAAATTCTCTGTGAAATAGATTCTGAGTTTTGTGTGAAAATTAAATAAAGGTATCGGTTAACTTGTTAGTTCAGTCTGGTTATTCCTGTTAAAATAAAGCTAACAGCTACTAATTCTTGATCTTTGGTAACAAAAATTTCAATCAGTAGAGGGTGGTAAATCTCAGTTTTAGCCAAAGTTAGATACTGTATTAAAACTCAGTCTGCCTACAGGAAGATTAAATCTGACCCATACTGATGTCCCCCGGTTTCATCTGTTCAGGAGGGCTGCCGGTACAACGTCATGCATGTGGCAGCGAAGGAGAACCAGGCAGGGATTGCCCAGCTGCTGCTGGACACTTTGGAAAACTCAGAGTTCATGCGCCTCATGTACCCAGATGACCAGGAAGTTATGCTGCAGAAACGAATCCGCTACATTGTAGACCTTTACCTCAACACTCCAGATAAGGCTGTCAGTTCTCCTCTGATGCTTGCATCCAGGTCAGGTCTGATGGAGTTAACTAGCTGTGTTCACCTCATATCTGGATTTTTTTCTTCCGGTTCAGAGCTTTGAAACGCCACTCCACTTTGCCTGCAAGTTCGGATGTCCAGATGTGGTCAACGTCCTGTGTTCGCATCCTGACATTGATAAGAACAGAAAGAACAAGGATGGCCTGAAGCCGTGTGATGTAAGGCATTTCTTCTCTACCTGATAACGTCATTTAAAGTTAGCGTAGCCAGGGTTGTCACTGTCTGTGTGTTTTTACGGGGAAATGATTCAGAATAATAATAATAATATGGAAGTTGTCAAACAGCAGAAAAACACGGTGGAGTTGAAGCCTGATGGAGAGGGATGTATTGAGTCAGATTCTATTTTTAAGCTCTGACCTTTTAAAGTCTTTTAGCAGCAATCACACATGGAGCAGCATTGGCTAATTTTAGAAGGGCAAATTGTTTCCTCAGTTAATCTGAAACAGCTGCAGGTCTGCCCACGGGATTATTTATCTGTTGTCCCTTTTTCCGCAGTTAATTTGTAGCAGAAAAAATAAAACCCAAGAAGTAAAACAGAAGATAATTGACTACTTGGAGGGTAAGGAAACCATATGTTTAAAAATAAATGACGCATTGGTGTTCCTATTCTTTAATTTCTTTAAAAAAAACACCATAAATATTGTTTACATGCACTCATAAGGATGGATTGCATGGATGTTTTTTTTATCACTTATGTCAAGAACTACATACTGAATAAATTAACTTGTGCACACGTCTAGTTCCAGATGCACCAGCCACACATTTGAGTTTTATTCAAATGTAAACATTTGTTCTATACTGTGTCCAAAATTAGCATCATGTCCATCAGCCGTTTCACTTGTGCTGTCTCACAGATCGCTGCTATATCCCTTTGCTGAGGGCGACAGACAACACCTCTCATCCCATCATTGGGACTCCATGGTCACCGGAGTCCTCAGAAAGTTTGTCACTGACCCAGCGGCACACCAGAAGCCCCATAGATCCTTTCATGACAGTCACAGCCTTTGCTGGCCCGCTCAGCCCTTCCAAAGTAAACTCACTACCTGGTTGCTCGTGTGTATCAAAAAAAAGAGAGAAGAAAACAACCTTTGTAACTAGTTGCTAACTAGAACAAATTGTCCTACAATGCAGGCAGATGATTTTCGCCGGTCGTGGAAGACGCCACCAAGAAACCGGGCGGAGATTTTCCATCACATTCTTAAGTCAGATCCTGACAGAGGTGCAGAGAGAGTGGGCAGGTACATCACAACATTCTCTGTTCATTTATTTACTTTAGCCCATTATCTACTTGAATATTGTCATTGTAAGTATCTTCCTAAAGGTGTTCTGTCTTAGGAGACACAGTTTTATAGAGACATTCAGTCAGCGTCATGAATATTGTTAAGAGCTTATGTTGGACTGTAATACTTGAACTTATTTGTGTAAACTCAAACAATGTCTAATGATGACTGTTATTTTAACCTCAGAGATCTGGCTCGTGAGATGGGGCACCCCTGGGCTGAGTACTGGGGCTTCCTGGATTGTTTTGTGGATTTGTCTTCAGCTGAGGGGCTTTGTAGGCTGGAAGAGCACCTGAATAGGAAAGATGTCAGCCCAAGGACTCATGACGGGGTTAGAGAGAACGAGACCAGTAACAGGTTTAAAACTCCCTCTCCAGGTATGCACCTAGGTATTTGAGACACTGAGGCACCTTAACCACTAATCCATACTGGAGGCATCAGCATCTCTTCTTCAGATAGAATCCAGTATAGTCTATGGGTTGATCCAAACCGGCCGTGCCACACCACTAAAGATGGGATTGGATTCTGTTTTTTTCTATGAGCCGCTTGTTGGATGCATCAATTTCTGCAGTTAACATAGGGTATACAGAAAGTCACACAAGGTTTCAGTGTAAAATTTCCGGTAATTTTCAAAATATAAGACTACTGCAGCGATGCAGTTTCTTATCTATGTAGATTACGTCAATACTTGTGACCTAATGACTTGTTTGCTCCCAGCGTCTTTCGAGAGGTGCAACGGTGTGTTTTTCATGGCTTTAATCCTGCCAGTGGACAGGCACAAAATTATATATATCAAGCTGATATTAAATGTGATCTCCTCCTTGGTTTAATGATGGATGGCACGAACAAACATTGACCTTTAAAGTCTCGAGGGATTTTGTGATCTCACAAGTCTAACAAGGAGGACGGCAGAGATGCTGCGCCGCGTCTGAGGTGCACCCCAGTGTGGATTGATGCGCTGCAAAACATGCGAGTAAATGGTTCGGTTAGGCATATAACAACTGGTCTCTGAAGTAGACCATCAGATCGATCACTTCTGGATACCAGGACATTGTGGGCTACTGAGCAGCCACCAAAATCAGAGACAGTCTCATCCAGTATGGCTGGAATCAGCTCCGCTGGAGGAAAGATATAGAGGAGAACATTGGGCCCAGGGTGCCTGCGCCAGAGCGTCTGTCTCTATTGGAGCAGTCTGATCCGTCAAGGAGAACAGAGGACAGTGTGTGTTTGTGCGTGATGGAAACCGATCCACCACAACCCTGCTGAACCATGTCCAGATCTGAAACACCAAACCTGGGTGAAGCCTCCATTCCCTTGCCCGGGGTCCGTGCCTGGAGAGCAGGTCTACCCTGTGGGTCATGCAACCAGGGGCCATAAGCTGCTGATTTGGATTGCACCAATGTAGCAATGCTTGGGTCAGGTTCAGCAGAGAAAGGGAGCATGTTCCTCCCCATCTCTTTATTTATGACACTACAGTTGTGCTGTCTGTGCATACTAGCACATGCTGGCCTCTCAGGTAATGACTGAAAAGTCTTAGGGCCAGAAACATGGCTGACGTTTCCAGAAAGTTTATAAGGAACCTCGATTGGGTTGGGGACCACATTCCCCTCATTGCCATACCTCCACACAGAGCCTCCCAGCCTTTCAGGAAGGTGTCTGTGGTTACCACCACATGTTCGGACACCCTTCCAATTGGAGAACCCTGGTGGAGCAACCCTGTTCTCTCCATGGTAAAGGAGCCGCTATGCAGGCCCTGGTGACGGTCGGCTTCTGGTGAAGATGACACGAGGGACAGAGACAGTGAGAGCGTACCCAACGCTTGACATGCTGCACCCCACCCTTAATCAACCCAGAGGCGCCACGGCTATAGTGGAAGCCATCATGCACAATGGCAGGGCTGCCGATTGAAACCAGTGCTCCAAGGTGGCCAACATGGTGGCAGAGCTGAGTGCGAGGGATGGAGGTTGCCTGGACCTGGTTGCAGCTCTGCGGTGGAAAACCTGCACTGCTTAGAGGGTAGAACAGCACCCAGCATCACACTCATTTGCCTTTACAGGCGTGATTAGTTGTGTCTTCAGCCAGGTCACACGAGGGCGTAATGTCTCATAGTACCTTAGTTGTACTGAGGGAATCAACGGAAAGGAAACATCCCGTTGCCGGCCCATGCCGCTGATGCCTCTGGTGTGGATTCAGGGTAACTTTGAACACTTCACAGTTTTTATTTTTTTTATTTTTTCTGGTTTCAGGGAAGCCCAAAAAATTCTGCAACTCTATTTCTGTTGGTGCCTTCCTGGATGAAAGTGATGATATCAGTCTTGAGGAGATAAAGAACCGTCAGAATGCAGCACTTACCAGCATCACCTCCTCTGCTGCATCCAAGGATGTCCTGAAGGGAGCGGTGGGAGGCCGCATCACACTCCACCACCGCACGGCGGACCTGATTGAGACGGCAGCTGAGCAGGACCTTCTGTGCTGCTGCAGCGATGGCCTCCTTTCGCCAGGTGTGGTTTGCAAAAACGGGGCGTGTTCCTCCTCCAGAGACAGGACTCACAATGGAGACAAGGTGCCCACCCGCACATCCCCATCCTGCTCAGCGCTGTCGCCCATCTCCAACCTCATGGTAGAGTTTGAGCGCATGACGTTGCAGGAGGAACTGGACAGCCCCACAAGCTGCAGGGAGAGAAGGAGCAGTGGTGGGAGTTGGCACAGGGACAACCGGCACTCCTGTGGCTCCACCTCAGCCACAGACCTGAGCTCCGGCCTGAACCGCCTGTCTCTCAGCCAGAACATAGGGGTCATGGACCGGGCTGGCAGGAGAACAGAGGGAGGAGGACAAGAGGATAGCAGCAGCAGCTCAGAGGAATACTTTCAAGCAGAGGAGAGTCTGGAGGCACTGGGTAGGACTAGGGATTTAGTGTCAGGGGTGCGCAACGTCTGTGCCAGGTCCAAGTCTTGGGACCATGGAGGCCGTGACCTGAGCAGCTCAGGATCCTCGGGGTCTTCTTACAAGTCCTTTGATAACTCTCATGAGTTCCTACCCAGGACTCCCCCACATTTCAGAAGAGGACTTTATATTGAAGGGTGAGTCTCGGGTTCTTCTACAATTACCGATAATGTTCTAGTTGATAGAAAATATGCAAGTCTATCCAGTTAGTGGAGATGGGTGGATCATGATAGCATCACTGGTAATAAATGTTTTGTGTCTGCAGAGACTCTCCAACCAAACTGGACAGAGAGGTCTTGTCGGCTATAGAGGGCGTAGATGTGGATCCCCAGAAATACCCCAACATTCATAAGTGGAAGAGCACAATGAAGTCGTTCTCTGTGTCAGAAATGCAGAGGTGAGTGGGCTTCGCTAACGTTAGCTGTCAGCTGATAAGATTGTTTTTGTGTGGGAGAGCTGGTGTCGTCTTGTTCACCCAAAGCGATGTAGGGCCATCACTTCCCACTTCTACTTGTTAAAGGGACTTTATCATGCTGCTTCAAACCTTTCAGAGCAAGGATAGGTTCATATATGATGAAAACTAATTGTTGGCACTCTGGAAATGTCATCCTTTTCTGAAATCTAAGTTATTTTCTTGGGATGTTTCATCCACCCTGAAATAAAATGCTTGTATTTGATAAAATCCTGCGTTCACTTGTGTGAATTCCACCCATTTAATGACTTAACCCTAGAACCTCCGCAAATCATCACGGACCATGAAAAAGCTGCTTTAACTGGCATGCCAGCGACAAACGCGCTATCAGGAACACCGGGACATTCCTTGGTGGCCACGCTATAACGACCCCCTCAGCCATTAGCTACGTTTACATGAGCACAAGTAATCGGAATGAATGCCCTATCAGATCAAAAATTCTTTGTGTAAAATGTCAATGTCAGCATTTTCTGATCTGATACGGCCAGATCAGAATGAAATTTCTTGTCCTGAGCATCTTTCCGCATTTGCAGGCGCTCAGGACAAGCTGGAGGAGCGGGTGATCATTAGTAAGTTATCCTGCTTTGCTTTCCTGTGGCGGAGGAGCAGTAGCTTTACGTACCGCTGAGCCTATAGCTTAGTTAAAGCGAGCAGTAAAACAAAAGCATACAGGTAAAAATGTGAAGAAGGTCCATAATGGGGTGAAATGTAAGTTCATGAACAAAGCTAGAGAATAGAAAATAAATTTTAAATGGAAAGACGTGCGGACAAGATGGGGTTAACAATTTTTTTATTCAGAGAAAGACAACTCTCAACATATTTAACCTGATTGAATGCTTGGTGCATGATCGGATCATTTTCGTTGGTGTCAATGGAAACAAAGATTTGGGATTTCCAATCAACTAAGATCTGAATCTGACGGGAGATAAGTGGCGCATGTAAACGTAGCTATTGTTAAATCTCGTCATCAGGCCCTGCTCCTCTCACGGAAGCTAGACTCTGGTCTGAAACCCATCTCCTCTGGCCAGCACAGGACATGTGGCTTAGGCGACTGGTGTCAGACTTGGTAGTCCAGTGGAAAGTGTGCTCAGACAGTCGCCTTAACCACTGGACTACCATAGTCAATACAGCAACTGACCCGCAGCTAAGGCGCTGTTGTAGCACGTTTAGTTAGTGTCTGTGGGCAGAGTTTCACTCAAGCAAAGCATTTTATTTCAGGGTATAAATTCAGGCTGACAGACAAAACTCATGTTTAAGATCAAATGACATCTCAAAAGTGCCAACAGTAATATTTTATCATAGACTGTGCCTACCTCGGCTCTCAGAGATTTAAAGTGGCATGATATGGAACTACTTTTCCTGAGGCTTTAAGGACGTTTGTGCCATTCAGCCTCTGATTTGTGAAGACTGGCCTAAATAAAAAATCAATAAAATAATGTTGTTCCCCTAATTATCAGCTAATTTTAACAGAGCTGTGTAATATTGTTCTCAAAATAAAGAAGTAAATTGTTTATGTAACACGGTTTTTATGCTCTTTTAGAATTTTATGAATTTTTCATAAATGTAGTCATGCAGGAATGGTGAGTTGTAATTGGCCCATACACTGAAGGGCTCTGTAACACCATGACTGGTATGATCAACTTGACTGTGATGAAATCAGATTGTAGTCTGATAAATATTAGGATTAGATCTGAAAATTCGGCCTGTTATTGTTGTGTACGTGTTGCATAAATAGTTATATCAAAGCACTTCTAAAGAATTGACCATTAATGTTGGGGTGTGTTGTGAAGCTGGCCCAGCCCGGCGGTGAAACCACGACTCAGGATGCAGCATCAGACCCCCGGCTCTCCCATCGGCGGCTTGATGTCCCCCACCGGTCGCTTCAGTCCCGTCCGCCACGCTGCCTCTCCAGACTTCAGCCCCAGCCGTTACAGCCCCGCCAGCGTTGGCTACATCCAACGCATCCGCCTCAGACACTTGAACGAGCCACTGCTCTAACTGCCCCCCCCCCCCCCCCCCCCCCACACACACACACACACACACACACAACAACCCCAGCTGCTCCAGGATGACCGCAGCAGAGCTCAGCAACCACAAACCTAACAGGAATATGCACAAGTGGTACTTCTTCTATGTATAACAGGAATTCTCATCACCTTAGGCTGTGATGTCAGCTCAAGACTTTAAAAAAAAAGAAGGAAAAAAACTTGATACTACATGTACTGTATGGGTGTGGACTATGTTGATTTGCTGAAAGTGTTTGTGGCGACGGCGACACACTTGTATGACAGCCTGAGTCACGGTTTTGGAGGACCACACTTCCCAGAGTTAGGTCACAAAAATAGAATCATCAGGATTTTGTCACAGAAGATGTTAAAAATACTAAAACAAGTCAAATATTAATATTTAAAAACTTATTTTTTGTATGTTGGTCAGTAGCACAAATTTAAATGTTTTTATTAATGAGGTTAAACCCAACTGCCATTTCCTGTGTTGTTCCTCAGTTCAGGAATTGCCTTAATGTTCTGAAGTGATGGATCAGACACACTTTAACTCGTACATAAGATGTATGAAAAACAAAACGAGAGATCTTCCATGTTTTTATTTTAATCTAATAAATGCATATCTTTTTTCCACATTTCTTGGTAGTACCTGGATGTCTCAACGATTTATTTTTGCTATGATGGCGGCCTTAAACAGTGCCATTTTGTTTTAGTCAGTCAGAAACCTCTCCTGTGTGTAAATGGTGACTCAAAGGTCAGTTGTGTGTGCTGATCCCAAATCAGCCTGAAGACCACCTCAAAGCTGCATAAGTGTTTTATCTGTGATCACTAGAGGGCGGCAAACCTAAAGGAATCCACATGTGAGAATACCTTGTCAGCTCCACAAAAACTGCCTTATGAGCTGCGTTGTGCTGTGTTAATGTCCAGTTTTATATCCTTTTTACAACAATATAATTTGACTTAATTGGGGGATTTTAACAGCTTTTATTGAAATTCTCTCAGCTGAAGTTGGTTTTACAGGAAACTCACGTGGCAGATTTTTAAAAACCACCGAGTCTATTGTGAAGTAATTCAAACCTGTATCTAAACTGTTCTGCTGGGATGCATTTTTACTGCTTTTAGAGCAACAGACAGTTATGTTGAGTATTCAAGTGGCCACTAAAGCTGAAAGAAACCTGTTTTGAATGTATTTTGTGTGAACTAAACCTTTATCTGGATGGCAGGAGATCAGCCACCGGTCTGAATGTTTGTGAGTGTGGAACTTTGCAAAAACGCACCTAAAAAACTTAAAAACCTGCTTCTTGTGCTTTCAGCTAATCTGTGCTTTTATTAAAAATAAAACTCATGGTGAGTTCTCCCTGTACGTCTTGACCAGATTTGCTTTGAATGACTCAATAAATCACTGCATTACTCACACTGTACATGTGCTTTTGTCTGATTAAGTAAGGCACAACCAGAAAGTTTCACATTTTTTAATTTATTTACCACTATTACAACAAATGATGCCCCCTTCAGTGAAATGTAAGATGTAAACAGCAGTAACTATGTTAACAGCTGTACATATAGACCTTTATTGGCTTTAAAAAAATCCTACTTATGTACAAAAACCAGGTTACATTCAGAAGGAGTTGCTTGTAACTCCTGTTGGTGATGGCAGCCAAGTAATCGCAACAAAAGCACCACACAGTCCGACAACATGGCAAATCTGTTATTCAATATAAAAGAATCAAAAGTTTATTTCAAGACACTTGGAGAGGAAACTGAGGGTCAACCCTGCAGAGAAAACCCGTGGTGCGCTGACCCATCAGGTTCGTGTTAGTTTGTCCGGGGGCATAAATCCTGCATCGCCCATAGTCCTGAGGCCCACCCGGCCACTCGGGCGAATGGTGAGCCAGGTGATGCTGCCGTTGTGCAAACCCATCCGTAACCAGCCCTCTGGGGGGAACTGGAGCGCCCTGAGTACAAAGAAAACAAGAAACAGTGCTGCAGATCTGCTTTATAAACCGATGTGTTCAATGCAGTGTTTTAAATTATTTAGAAGGCTCTAGATCCTGCTCACTACCTTTAGACTAGTGTGAAAACATTTGATTAAACTTTGACAAATGTTGAGTGATGATGGGGAATGTTGTGCATGACAATATATAATAAACACATTCTAACAGGAAGAGGGATTCGCAAAAGCAAAGAGCAACGAGGCTGAAGCTCGGACCTGAGCTGAGCCTCTGCCGGCACAAACCTGCAGACAAAATAACGGATGACATTGGCATGACACACGATGATCTCATAGCTGTCCTCCTTCTGCTTGGGGTCAGCCCGGTGGATGTAGCGGCGGAAGGCTGCCTCAATTCGAGCTCCATCTTCATGGTACTGCTGGAGGACGGCAGAGAGGTTGAAAGCTGTCTTTGTCACATGAAAAGGGTTCTGTTGGAGCCTCTCAGTCAGAACATGAAGGGAATGAATGAAGAGTTTCATTCCAACGTGAGGCCAGCTACACAGACAGTACCACTGAAACTTTCAGATGATCCCTTTTAAAGACCTAAATGATCTAGACCTTAGATAAGCTTTGCTCTGGTTTTTTTTCCCTTTGGGCAGCCATGCTTGGTTTGCAAATGCCTAATCACTAAAACTAATTTTTAGCATAATCTAAATTAACACTTCAAATTCTCACAAATAATGTAAAAAGATCCCACACTAAATGAATGAGCTTTACAGAGGGAAAGTCACTCATCCTGTGACTCACTCCTGTGCCAGCACATTGATTATTGGATGAAACCAGCTGAGTTTAGGAGCTGCACAAACTTGACATGCAAATACAAAAAAATAAACAAAATCCAGCCAGCTGCTGTGTTTTGGGCCCAGCGTTGGTGTAGCTTCTCTCACCACAGCATCGGGCTTCCAGTGAGTGACTGCAGGAACTGGTTCGATTGGTGCACCCTCTCTAAGCAGGTCACAGCTCACCAGCTCCACTCCTGCAATCAAATAACATATAGGTTAAAGAAAACAAACAAACATATATATAGATTTGCATCTAATCTTGTTTACTATAATGACTTTCTTTACTACCTGGAAGGTGTTTGCTGATAATATGTGCAGTTTCAGTAGCTCTGGCCATGCTGGAGTGGATCAGTACGTCATACTTTAAACCCAATGCTGCTAACCTTTGACCTGTCAGATCAGCCTGCTCACGGCCTGGGAGAGAGGACACAGATCCCTCAGAAACTAAACATTCCAAAGAATACCGTCTGCCTGAAGTTAAGTACCCAAAGGTGTGAGGATCCTATCCTTGTCGCTGCTTCCGCTCAGGTTGTACTGAGAGTGTCTGATGAGGAAAATGTGGCGTGTGGCTTTTGGTTTGCTGTTGTCCTGCTCGGAGCTGGGGTCTTCAGTCACGCTCTCCTTCTTCCTCCCATTGGACAGCGTGGATGGCTCTCTCCTAAACAGGACAGGTTATTTTCAGATTAGAGGTGGTTTAATTTAAGGAACCAAAAGCTGGGTTAATCCAACAGTGACTTAAGACCATGAGCTGAGTCACTTTGAAGAAAATCTCCCAAATCTTTCTGACAAAACTGCATTTTACCCACTGATCATTTAAATCAGCTCCCGTCAGACAGTTGATAAGTATTTACCGGCTCTAGTTTTATTTCTGAGGATGTTTTATTATCTGGATTTTCCTCTGAAATCCTGATAACCACTGATTCTGCACATGCAATGATGTGTGTGTAATAAAAGCAACAACATAAACGACCGTGCTGACACAACAACATAACATACTTGTCCCAGTTGAAGTCCCAGGAATGCCCACTCGGAATCGGGGTGACAGTTGTCCAAGCCGCCGGCTGCGCTGCATGAAGGACGGTCAACCTCGACCACCGACTGGCCAGCCCCTCTCCGCGCCGCTCACCCAAATATCCGCGAGATTCGGCTGCATTAGCAGCGAACACCAAGACTGCCGAGCCGCCGGCGAAGCCACAAATAAGTTTAAATGTTTTCCTGAACGACATCTTGTTCGCAGCCGAGAAAGCGAAACTTATGCTAGCTAATTAGCAGAGCTTAACCAGTCTGCTGTAAATAAGACGCGTGAAGCTGTTCCCCCTAAAACAAGGCGCCTTTCTGTTGCTAAAGGGCGTCTGGTTGTTAATTCTAATTCTAACAGCGTAAACAAAACCACGTATCTGCAGCACAGTTAGCTAATGAACGCCGTTTAAAGATCTAAAATCAAAAACAGAAGCCAGTAAGGAAAGAGTAAGCTAATAAAGGCGAACGCCTACAAACACTACGGTGGCCAATTTGGGTCAAAACATCATTCATGTGCTTTTAGAATTTACTCTCCGCCGCACGAGGGTGCTAAAGCCACACATTGACCTACAATGGTTCTCTGGTGAGCCTCAGCGATTTCACATCATTATCCAGCAGCTTAAACATACGAGCTTCTGCTACTCCGATTTGTAATTGAAATTTTCTGTAGGAAGTGCTGAAACGTTTGTCTGGTTGTTACTTTTAGGAGCTTCATAGTAGTAAGGCAGACCGTTGTAGCATATATTGTCACCTCACTTCTAGCATTCTAAACGTCGCAAGACACAAGATCATAAAGCAGAAGTAAGTAAAAGTGCCATACCATCCAAGAAAGTAATCAGAAATTTCTCTGAGGGGAAAAAACGAAATTACAATCATTTTCTGTTGGTGTTTTTGTTCATAAATGTGTATGCATTAACATAGTTTTGCAGCATATTGAAATTTGTAATAAGATTTTAGTCTAGTGACAAGGGTGAGAGGGGCGGGGTCCAAAAGCAGAAGCTTCACATGAGTGAGGAAGGTGGAACCTTTGCGTTTAAGACGCCGCATGACTATTATATGACACATTTGCTTGCCCGAATGTACTGCCTTATCTGCATTTGAACTAGGGTGAGGATTGGGAAAAAACAACTATGCCGAATTGAAGAGATGAAATTCTCCTTTAACAAAACGTTTTTTAAATCTTTCTGTGAATACTTAGAGAGCAGCGAAGCACCATAAAACCTTCGTATTCCAGCTAATGTTTGGTGTCACTCATCATCAAATAAGAGCAGACCTCTCACATATTGATAGATGAGAACATTTAGAGGCATTCTGCTGTTAAAATGTTGTATTTTCTGGCTGCATCCAGCCTTCGAGGCTTGGCTCCACCTTTCGGGGCGGCTGGGTGACCTCAGCAGTGGGCTGGTTCTGGTTCCGGAGAGAGGGAGGGATTTCGAGGCTTTCCAGTGAGTTCGTGCCTCCTCGCGTCTTGGACCTATGCGGCTCCAGAGATAGCAGAGGCGGACTGGCTGTGCCCGGTTCGTAGCCACACATAGACGTCCGTTTTCTTTTAATACATTTCTTTTTTTTTTTTTTACAGCACATTGATCGGACGTTTCTTTCCCTACATGCGCCTGCAACCGGAATAATAAATAATTGAGGAATGTGGAGAATACAGAATGCCCAACAGCGCTGGAAAAAGATTTAAACCCACCAAATACATCCCGGTGTCCACTGCTGCCACACTCCTGGTGGGATCCACCACTTTATTCTTCGTTTTCACGTAAGTCCGCATAGCTTCTTCCTTAGCCTGTCAGGATTTTTCGTTAAAATAATAATAATAATAAACTATGGGCGCTCAATTAAAACAGGACAGGATTGTAGGTGGAAGTTTGCACGGTTGGATTGAGTCACTCAGATGGGATAAGTGGGTTTAAAGGGGAATATCTGTTCCAGCTGACAGCCTGCTATCAGAGATGGTGATGGGGCAGCATTCCCTTCTTATGCAGGCTCAGAACTTCTTATTAGACAAGTTGAACGGATTGGTCTGTCAGCAGCTTTTAGGCCAAACCAGTTCAAATGGCCCATCAGACTTGGATAATTACACCATCCCAGTAGTAGACATTGCAATCAAAGTCAGGCCTATCAGGGGCTCCTACCAGCTGGGCTTCACCCTGCAACCTCCAGAGTGTTTCAGTGACCAGATATGGATTTGAGCCAACAGGTCTCTCCAAAGCAGATTCAGGAAATGTGCATTTCTTTGTTCTAAAACGCAGCGACGGCTGCAGACTGGGCATTACCATAAAGGCTCTCAAGATCCCACAGCTAGGAAAGCCTTCGGCCCCTTGGCTGTCCAGCTGATGAATGAGGAGGTCAGCTCTGTGAGTGACAGCTGATGCCTCAGGTCTGAATCATCCCTCCCACAGACATTCGCCTGTAGTAATAGCTGTCAATTTATCAGTGAAATCTACATCATCCCACATTTCATATCTGCAGCATTCCCTAAGGACAGGTTGGGAGGTGGTTTCACCAGCAACAGGCACTAATGTCAGAGTGTTAAAGAGTCAGGTGATGACATAAAACTGCATTTATAATTAAAAGAAAAGAAAATTAACAGCACCGAGGCCACAGGACACATGCTGTTGAAGATATGTGACTTTATTTTGCACACATTATGCATTGCATTTTGTTGCAAAACGTCCTCAGCTGAAAGTTTTGTGTCATTTACACAGAATAAACCCAGAAATGGTTTGAGCTTCACTCCATGCGGCCGAGACAAGCATATGGTGTTTTTTGGCTTCACCTTAAAATCCCTGCTCTGTCCTTAGCTTTGCATAAACAAATGACCTGATTTACAAGTCTCGATACAGAGTGAGTGTATTCAACGTATGATCTGCAGCTGAGTCACACTGTTTTTATTTGTTTCTCATCATTTTTTAGCATGTGACTTTAAAGTTCATCCCTAAGCAGATGGCTCAGAGGGAGGGATTAAGATGTTGCTTCTTCACAGTAAAAACTCAGGATTGAGTCTTTTGTGTGTGTGTGTGTGTGTGTGTGTGCGCGCGCGTGTGTGTAATGCAATGGAACCTTGCGGGACGCAGCACATATCCAAACAAGGCCGAGCCTCCTCATTTTCAGACACACTTAGGGTCATCTATGGTGAACCTCGTCTGGCCTTTTCTCTGGCTGCTGTTGGAAGTTGAATTACAGTGTAAGCCAGAAAACCACAGCACAAAAAGTGTTATCTGAAATCTCTAAGCCCAAAAATAACACAAGACCTCAGTGCAACAGTAGGAGCGTGGCATGTCACAAGGCTAATAGTGGTTGAAACTTTAGCACGTACACATTTGTGGACCGCGGAGACAAAAGTTAGTTAGGTATTTATCTGAGTGTTACCATTAGGACAATAGTGCCACTTCCACATCTGTCCCAGTCCGGTCCAGGTCCCACGCTGGTGGGTTTTGTTCACACACACTTCTCAGGAACTCAGTAATCTCCTAGCATGTGGGCAGGGCTAAATACACGCAGAGATGTCTGTGGTATCTTCCTTAAACTAAACAAATTCGGCTGTGAGCAGTGTTGCTTTTGGAGACTCTGATATTACATCCTGCTCTGCTGTGTCTGTCCTGGCGCAGCTCAAGCCTTGGCAGCACTGTGTGTGTGTGTGTGCTTCTTACAGCATGTCTCAGTGAGAGAGACAGAGACAACTTCAGTCATAGGAGATGTTTACTCCTCAGCATCCACAATGATAATGAATCGCGCATGCAGGAAGCCCCCGCTGGCTGATTCTATCTGCCAATCAGAGGCTCCCCCTAATGGTAGGTGTGAATTTGAGCCAGCCAATCATTCGGCAGTGGGGATAATGGACCAGTTCAGCCAGAAGCAGACTGTCATGGGAAGAGGTCTGAAAAAATAACTGGTTGAAAAAATCCTGGCTACCCAGATGTGAACACTTTATACCATACCTGGACAGGGTAGAGCCAGCCCTGATGTGATAGCGGCTTTGGTGCCAGAATGAGGGATGAGACTCAATATTGATAAGTTCATCTTTGAGTTCCACCATCATTGCATCTTCTGTGGCCATAAAAAGATCATATTTCATGCCTTCTGTGTCTAAATTTGCTCTAAAATTGTTATTGTTGACTTTTTGTGACTCTTCAGAAAGGCTTAATCATCCTTTGACCATATGCCACATGGATAAATTACCCAGGAAACCGAGCTGCCTTGCTAACATCCACATTTTAAAGAGTGTAGGGAGATGTGCGGAAACAATCTCTGAATCATCTGGACAGGTCCGGTGTTCAGCGGTTTTAGCCGTGCAGAGGTGAGTTATGAGTGAGCTAGTCGAGGCTGGCAGCCGGAGCCTGCGTACCACCGGCCCCTGCAGCAGAGCGGTGCACCAGAACAGGCCTGACAGGAATCTAATCTTCAGCTTCCACAGCTGTTTCCTTCTTTTCACTGCCGAGCTCGTGAATCAGACCTCATTCAGATCCAGCTCAGTCCTTTTGTTTTGTTCTCCAGTGTGGCTGTTCCTGTAGGGATTTTGAAGTGCAGAGTTGTCAAGAAGTGGGGAAAGATGTCAAACTGCAGTCAGAACAGGTCTTTCATTAGATAAGCGCGTGTTGGAAGAGAAACCCGTGCCTTAACTGAATGGAAGAAGAAGAAGAAAAAAAGATCTTTTCTATGGCGCCTCTCACGATAAAAATCACGAGGCGCTTCACAAAAACAAAAAATGTAAAAATATTAATAAAAAGAATTTAGAATGGTGACTGAGTTTGCCTGTAGTTGAATGAATTGTTGTTTTAACGTGTGGTGCTGTGGCTCAGCATGAGAGCCAGACTGGTTTTAATATGACTCATAATAGGGCTGAACGATTTTGGAAAATAATCTAATTGCGATTTTTTTTCTTCAATATTGCAATTGCGATTTGATTCACAATTATTTTCTCAAGGGGCTTTTCTCATTTTTCAACTAACGGAAGCAAAAAAAAAAGATCTATGTAACTTGTACTGAATATAAACAAGTTTATGTATCTACATATATCAACACGTTTATTTGTTTACACATACATGAACACTCACAAGTAACGACAGCATCTTGCATGTGAAGGTGCAATGCTTTGCAGCCAGGAGCACATCCTTGAAGGAGCATAGGTATTAGCATCAACTGTGAAAATTTATTTGCAGGAAAGAAGTGTGTCCCATTTATTGAAGTCTTTTGTGTTTAGAGTTTTTGACGTGTTGTCCATGCAGAGCTTCCGTAGTTCATTTACGTTCACAGCTGCTAGCCAAAACTCAGTGGAGATGAAGTACAGTTTTCTAGCTTTACTAAAATATCTGTCTGTACTTATTTGGTTAATGGCAGATTTAACTTTTTTTTAGACTCCAAATGTAATAATTTGGCACGTTCCTAATTCGTAATTTGTAAGAATCTATTCAGCGATATTAGCATTAGCATCCATATGGGTTTTTCATTTATATTAGCATTGTGCTAACCACTCGCTGCCAGTCAAATCGCAGCCTTTGCGGTTAGAAAATCTCCTTTTGCACATCGCAATTTAATTGTATATGCAATTAGTCGTTCAGCCCCAACTCATAACACAGCTTTGGGTTTACTTTGTTTATTTAAATGTCAAGGTTAGGATATCAAGGCTGGATGTCACCAGGGTAAAGAGTGTTTGATAAAGAGGAAATTAGCAGTTTGCCTAACAGCTCGTTTTATAATGTCTGCTCTAATGAACAAACATTTATGAAATCTACAATCCACAAAGGCTCAGCTGTCCTCATGTAATGCTCACTAGGGATGTCCCGATACAACTTTTTTCAATTCCGATATGATACCGATATTGCAACCTTCAGTATTGACCGATACCGATATCCATCCGATACGATATCAGCACGAATCATACACACTTTTACCTGTAGTGTGGAATGTATAAAAGGCTTGATCAAGTGATATTACACAAACAGAAAACTAAAGCCAGCATCAGTAAGTTTAAAAAACTGACCAATTTTTTACTGATTAATTAATTAGTTTATTAGTGCAGCACTTGTGCGTGACAAGTGCTGCTGATGGATAGAATTGCTGGACTAAAATTTAAAGCAGAACGTGCTGCTAATATCGGAGATTTTTGATGCAGTCCGATTTAACCCGATACAGTGTTTTGGGGCCGATATCGGAACGGGACATCCCTAATGCTCACAACAAGAAACGATTCAGGGTAAATATGTAACTCTGTTCTTCTGTTCCCTACTGGAGGTGCACCCATATGAACATGACGTAAACTCAGTTTCACTCATCAGATCTATACCGATATGTTAAAAAAGGGCTGATACCAGTGTTGATGCCTATACTGTATCATGCATCCTGGTAAATCCAGGAGGGAAAACCAGAGATCCTTCTCTCTAGTGACATCTCTAGCTCCCCATGGGAGAGCCAAAGGCATCCTCAAGCCAGAGAGGATATAAAACACCTCCCCTGGTTCCAGTGCAACATGCTTGCAAGTCATCCAGAAAGAGTCGACCAGGATGCATGAACCTCAGCGGACTCCCTTTGAGGAAGACGAGCAGTGGCTCTTTTCTGAGCACTTAGAAGATAGAGCTCCCGTAGGTCCATCTCGCCTCCACCCTCCTACCATCACCTGTGAACAAAACTCCTCCAATTGAGGCAAAGTGTCGTTCCCGACCTGTAGGGACCATTTTGACTGAAAAGTTATCAGGAGAACAACGTGAGAGAAGCAGACTGAGTGGCAGATCAGTATTCATGTTCAGTTTGTTCCACCCT